CGGTACTGAAGAGTAGCATAACTTATCACCTTCAGACAGATGGGTAGACGTAGGTGGTAAACAGGAGCCTGGAGACATACCTACTATGTTTTGTGTTGGAGACACTTAGGCTTTGGGCTAAGTGACTAGCATGGGAGGAGTACTGGTACAACACTTCATATCATTCAGCCTCCTAGATGACCCCATTCAAAGTGATGTACGACCGAGACCCACCGCACTTGATGCATTTTGGGCAGCATAACACATTAGTTTATTCCGTGGAGTAGTACTTAGATGAAAGAGATAGGGTGTTGGAAGAACTAAAAAGAGATAGGTTGAGGGCACAACCTATCATGAAGAAGCAGGAGGATGGGCATATGATGGGCATTCAGTTCAACGTGGGGGAAAGGGTTTTCTTAAAGCTACGACCCTACAAATAAAGGATTGTCACTAATAGGAGGAATGGAAAACTTGCCCCAAGGTACTTTGGGCCTTATGAGGTTTTGGAGTGGATTGGTGCGGTAGCCTATCATATGAGACTACCCTCGACGGGGATCATACATCTAGTGTTCCATGTATCACAACTGAGGAGAGCAATTGGGGATTAAACAACTAGTTCAAAGCTACTGGAGATGGTGACAGAAGATTTGGAGGTGGTATTAGAACCACTGGAGTTGATGGGGGTTTTTTTAGGAAGAAGAGGGGATTAAGGAGGTTCTGATTAAATGAAAGAGGCTACTAGACTATGAAGCCATATGGGAATCATATGAAGAATGAAGCACCAGTTCTCGTCTTTTCACCTTGAGGATATGGTGATCTTTTTGGAGGGGGTATTGTTAGACTGCCGATCCATAATGGACCAGTTCAGCAGGCCCTAGGCAAGGGGTCGGCCCAGGTTTGCTCAAGGCGGACCAATGGTCTTCCCAAGCTACAGTCAGCACCCTCTGGGGGACCTACTATTTGAAATTTGAGGAAAAGGAAGGGGCGGTTAGGGAGGAATTAGGGTTTCAGGGGTTGTTTTATCCTTTTGTTGTATTATTTGATTTTGTTGAAGTAGATTGGGGGAATTAGGGTAGGGTTATCTTGTCTTTGCTGATTTTGGTTCATGCTTGTTCTTGGGCTCTAGTGGTGTCTAGAGAGTTGGGAGAGATATATCCTCCTCTCGAATTGAGGATCAGCTGTATCTTGATGTTTTCTTTTTGTTTCTCATCAATTCTCACATCATTTTGTTTTTTTTTTTTCACCTTGAATTTGTTGGAGTTTTATGGTGAAATATTGTTAAAATACTAAAATTGTTAAGTTCCACTTGAGTTCTATAAGTGTTTCCTATCAAACGTACTACCATTAGTCAACCGCACTTGTGTTAATATATAGATTAATCATATCACATGCTCTTTTTTTAACATCTAAATTTTGCTGTTAGCTTTTGCGATGTCTATGATTTTTGCTCCTGGCTGCCATTTTGTTTGGGTATCTTTCCTTCCTTAATCTTTTTTTTTTTTTTTCTTGCGATTTTCTTCCGTATGGCTGCATATCTTTTAAGGATCCTTGGATTTTTGATGGAAAGCCAAAATCTAGGTCGTTCAGAGAAGTTTTGTCGGGTGAATCAGTTTCACCTGACTTTCCTCCTCTCAAAGTCTCTACCCATCATGCTTTGCTAATTTTGGAGGATAAAATGTTATCCCTTGCTGCGCCTTTTGAGTTTGCCTTAGTGGGGAAGTTCTTGGGTCGGCGCCCGCCTCTTGATACAATTCCCAAATTTTTCTTTAACCTGAAGCTTTGTGGTGCATTTTCGGTTATATTTTTTAACCCTAAAAATGTGTTTATTTAACTTTTGAATGATTTAGATTATTGTAGGATTTTTTCTCACTGTTCATATTTCGTTAGCAATTGCTTCATAAAACTTTTTAAGTGGACTCCCCATTTTGATATTAATGTGGAGTCTCCTATAGTTCCTATTTGGGTTTATTTTCCCAGTTTACAACCCCATCTTTTTTTCCCCTGCATACTTCATGGATTGGGGTCTCTGTTTGGTAGACCTTTGAGAACGGATAATGCAATTATTAATGGTTCTAGACCTTTTGTTACTCGCATACTTGTTAAAGTAGATGTTACTAAAAGATATTCTTCTCAAGTCTGGCTCAATTATGAGTCTATGGGGTACATTCAATCGGTTGAAATGAAAGAGTTTCCTTCGTATTGCTTTTATTGTAAAACCTTGGGTCATTTGATGGATGGTTGTCTGATTTTATTTCAAAAATTTAATGCTGCTCCTCTTGTTAAGGAGGGGGTTGTGGCCGATACTTATGCTTCGCATGACCTTCATGATATTATTCCAATCGTTGATTCGGTTGGGGTGGTCCAAGGTGATTTGGTGGCGAATCAAGTTGTTAATTGTGATCATGATGATGGTGTTGTTTCTCCTTTGCATAATGTTGTGGGGCATGAGATTATTCCTATTTTAGCTAAGGATTCGGGTGATATTGTTTTTCAAAGTTTTGGTGATTTTTTATCTCCTATTGTGATTAATCAAGAGGTGGCACATGGGCTTTTGGTTGAATCTGAGGATGTGGGGGTTGTGCTACGACTCTGTCTCATGTTAAGGTGGAGGATGAAAATGAGGCGGAATGGGCTGCTAGTCAAGCCGAAGTGTGTGTGCTGAGAATGTGGTTACTCTTGGCCCTGCTATTGGGTCGGTTTATCCTACTTTTGTGGGAACTGGTGGTGGTTCTTTTTCTCCCGCAACTGTTGGATCTTTGAGAACTAAGGATCTTGTTGAGGTACCTGTTGTTGTTATGTCCCGTAACGTTTTGAATGTTCGTTTTATTTCTAATTTGGGGGTTACTTGTACCGGGGGATTCGGGTTGGCTTGAAGGGTCTCCCTCATCGCCTGGTGAGGTGAGTGATGATGTTGGTGATGTGCAGGATGATTCTTGTCAGGACTTTGTATGGTTTAGATGTCTGTCAAGTTGTTGAGAAAGCTTTCTCAAGTGGCAGTAAACGTCGTCGAAGGAAATCTAGAAAGTAGCTTTGTTATTTTGTTGAGTGGCTTTATCTTTGCTTAATGGTTTTTTGCTATTTGTTGCTATTTGGTCAGTTATTTGTTGGGTTGGGTGTTGGGTAGATGTTTCTGTCCTTCCTATTCTCCTTTTTTGCTTTGTATATTTTGCAGGCTATTCCCCTCCTTACCAAGGTTGGTTTCGAGTCTTTTTATTGCTCATGGTAATCGTTTTTTGGTATGCTGACTTAGATCTTTCTGCTGTTGGTGCCTTTCATTTTTGGATTTTGTTGTATTTCTTAATTGCTTTGCTTTGAGTTTCTTTTCCTGTAATAGTTAGGATCTCAAGTTCTCAAGTTTTATTTCCAATGTTGTTCTTTTAGCGAGCTTTTGATCCTATAAGGACGTGTAATTTTTACCATTATTAACGTGTAGGCCCCGCCGTGAGTTTTATCAAGAAAAAAAATAGTCATATCATAATAGTCATTTGATTATTTTAGGAGAAAAGAACCCAAATGATCCCACTCTTTATGAAAGACCGAAATAGTCCCCAACTATATTAAATAATCATTTTGATCTCTTAACTCCTTATTTTAATTATTTCTTAATATATAATATATTATCTTAACCTTTTGATATGTCATGATAGATGTTTTGGTTCATTGACCATCATAATGTATTGAGTTGTACCGAAGGCACATGTTAGCAAATTTTGTAATTGATGATTTTTTATGGATCACTATTATGTTATTTCATATTTTCATTGGTGAGGCGATTATCACGTGCTATGTTTGGCAGAGAAAAAAAAAATAACTATAAGATTATGACTAAACGTTTTAAACAATTTAACTATTAGCTAATTCAAAATAACTTGTGGTCTTTAGTTGTCAAAATTTATTGTCGGATACCTATAAAATTGAATACAAGTTTTTTTTCCTTGTCAATCACATTGAAAAAAAAAAAACCAATTTCTCCGACTTCTATTTTAACTATAGGTACCTTAGTTTTTCTTGAGAAGCTAAGAAAACATATTAATTTGGAGAGAGCTCAAAGTAATTCCCCGATTATTCGTATGCTGTTAATTTAGCTCCAGTATATCAAATTTCTCCAATTTAGTCCCTCAACTATACAAAATTGATCCCAAAAGTCCCTTTTATAGAAATTGATAACAATTAGTATTCAAAAATTGATTCTAATTTAATCCTTTGATTATACAAAATAGTCTCCAATTTAGAACCTTGAGAGATCATCTTGAATTAATTTTATATATTCAAGAGACGAATTTGAGAAATGAGTACTATGAGACTAAATTGGCTACATAAAAATAATTAGAAACTATTTTTGACATTTTTCTGATTAATATGGTAAGCGTTCATTACAGTTTTTTATTGCGAAATTCCCATCACAGGTTAAACTTCTGTTTATCCAACGTTTCCATGTCTTACGATAATCGATGGTTAAACCATCTTTCAGTACCTTCGCCTTTGTTAAGTGGAAAATTGAACCGCTTGACATTTGAAACCTGCTTTCCATAATCAAAGACCTAGTGCTCGTGTAGCTAAATTAACTGTGCTTCTCTTATAGATATGCATATTTTTTTGCACACAAACAAAAAATAACGACATTAAGTTAACCTTCACTTTCCCTTTAACTTAAGTTATTTATGTTTTCTTTCCTAGCTATTGTGGTCATCATGAGATTTTTGTTTAGTTATTTTATTTTCATTTTTTTTTTATGGTCATCATGAGATATGGTAGCTACTTTTCCCACCACCTTATATAATCTATATAAAACTTGATCATTCATTTCTATTTTCTGGTTTTCAAACATGTTTTAAACTAAAGGATGCAGGAACCATTCTTTGATTTAGACTTGATGCAAAAAGTACGTGTACTGCATTCCTTGAAATTTATCTCATGCAGTATCAGATATTTTAGCCAGTTTTGCTAGTTTACTTTTTGCTGAAAATTAATAAATTTTGTTCGCATAATAAAATTCCGTGTTAAATTACTTAATACTTCAGGTTCGGGATATTTTCGACGATGTAGATGGTGGTGTTAATAAATTTCTTCCTTTTCAAGATGAACATGCTCTTGAATCTGTAACTTTAAGTGATTCACGTAAGAAGCCACGATATGAGGCAGCAAGTGATGTCAAAACAAATATAGATCGTGAAGGTACAGCAAATGTGCCTTCTCTTCCAGGACAAGATGGAAGACTTTTTCCCTCTGCTTTGAAAGAGGAAGGTTCCAATATTCCAAAACTTTCACGGTCTCTTATATCTGAAAAAAAGGCTCAAGCATTAGGCTTTACAAAGTGCACTACAGGCAACACCCTTTTAGATTGCCAAGGGGTTGAAATCTCCGTTAGTTCTTTTGGAGAGGGTGAAAATGGCATAGGAAACACCACATTATGCTCAGATTATCCTTTTCCTTGGAAAAATGGTTCTATACATCACAAAAAAACTGGTAATATTTCCTCTGCCAACGTTAGTGTACCGACAATGGAACGAAGGGAAGGAGAGAATGATCCTCTATTTTATGATTGTCCTAATGTTGAAGATCTTGAGGATTTTGACGGAATGCTCAGGTAACTTTGCAACGACTTATAATTTACAATGTCATTAGCTTTATTAGGTTGCATGCTCTCTACTTTAACTTAATATTTGTCTTTGGAGAAACCTTGGTTCCACATTTGTACAAGGGAGCACTGTCAGCGAAGATGATATCTCATGGTTCTCATCTAGTTCACATGGCTTTCATGGTATGGAAGATACTTTACAATCAGTCGTACTATCTTCAGTTTCAGAGTTTAGTGCTTTTAAAAATATATCTTCTCATGGTTTGTGCGACGATATTTTGCCTGGAATTGAACCATCGGCCATTAACACTGAGGCTCCCTCTGATACCCGCTGTAGTTCTTTTCCAATGTATTCTGATGCTGAAAGGAAGGGTAAATCGGCACTATCTGAACTGGTCAGTTGAAATGTGTATTGTTTGACTTGCATTGACATCATAAATTTCCTTTACCTTTTTTGACACCGCATTTCTCAGGCGTATCTTCATGCTGGGATTGGTGAAAAAGGTTCAACACTTGAACAAGTTGGCTATGGGAATGCATGCAGATATCCTGACATGGTAAGAAATTCTGTTTCGAATACTGATAAAACATAGAAAAGTTGCTGATTTACTGCTTTTAATACGTAAAAAGACTTCAAAGCTTAGAGAAAGTGTCCAAATAGTTTCAAGATTTCTTGGGGGTTTTAGTTTAGTCTTTAGACTATTGAATGTGCCCGATTTGAACCCTTAACTATTCAAAATTAATTTGAATTAGTCTCACTGTTAGAATTATCTTGTAAATTGAGTGTGAAATGCCTCCATGGTAATAAAAATACTCTATGTCACCCGTTCATAAAATGAACAAGACCACTGTGCTGGAAACATCCAAATTACGTAAAAATGAATAAATAAATCAATTTTGTATCCGCATATCAATGCCAATTCTCTAAGGGCATCTCCAACCTATTATCGTTTGCTTATTTGTTACTCCAATGAATGAGCGCCCACCTGAATGACAAATAAAAATATATTTTTATATTTTATCTTGACTTGGAATAGTGCAATGTCAATATTAAGGTTACATTATTTATGAAAAAAAAAGAGAAATAATATACACAATATATATGCAGAATTGGATAGAAGATAAATTATTAATTGATATGACTGTTACTTTATTTTGAATAGTAAAATAGGTTTCTCGGTTGCAGGCCATATTCCCTTCATTCTCCTACAGTCCTACCTTCGACTTCTGCCTAATTTTACGAAATCCTACTGCATCCCTTTCCTTCACTTCATTCTTTCTCCTTCTGCGCTCTTACGTGCAGCCCACGACGATACAGAAGCACGAGCTCCTCTCTCCCGATCACTCTCGCACCCCACAGCATTGCCGCTCCACCTCTATCGCGAGTTCAGTCTGTGCGGCCTTCTCTACATTCGGCATCGCACTCCTCTCCTGCTCACGCCATTCTCCTCTCATGGGTATTAATAATAAAAAATATTTTTTAATTTAATCAATATAATGCTATTAAATTTATAAGAGAATTTTTTTATCATTTATCTCTCAATATAATATTGATTTTGATAATATAAATTGAAAAAAAAAAGAATATGAAAAAAATCCAAAAAAAAAGAAAAAATAAAGGCCATCATTTCCTAAAGTTCCTTGCCTACTACATAGCCATTCCTAGGACTCTTGCATCCATGCATTGTCAAATCGAATGTAATACAAACCCAACTTATAAACCATAAGTGTGACGCCCCAAGATCTAACTTCGAAGAATTATTCAGTCATTCCTTTAAGTTAATCTTCTATCAGAGCTATCTATAGTCATCAATCAGTGACAACAGTCTAACAAAAATTTATAAGTTAAAAACATCAAGTAAATTTTTTTATTCATTCCCAAAAGTTCATTTATAAATACTCAGGATCTACACATTAATCACATGTAATCTATCATGTCCTGAGTACAAAAAGAATCACTATAACAAAAGGACAAAAATCTGAAGATTCCTGATCAACCTCAATCTCCTGCTCCCTTTCCCTGATCTGAAAATATTAACCACATATAATGAGCTTCAAAAAGTCCAGCAGGTTACCAAATACCTACAACTAAAATCAAAGCACGGTACGAAAGCAATATGCATGTCAATCAGTCAAATCAATTTCAGTCACTTGCACATGATCATTGAATCGATGCAGAATCATAAATCTTGCAAAAACAGTAATCAATGCTTATACAGTAATTAGTACATAAACGATAGTCATATAGAAACAGTTGAATCCAAAATCATCGGTGATAGAATTAATGAACAGTAAAATCCCATAAAGCTCAATAAACCAGTACGTGCGTCAAATCTATACAGTAGTCGTTGTATCTATACCATCAAAGAAATATTCGTATCGGTAATACCAATCAAATCAGTCAATAAATCATCATGTCCATAATATCAATCGTATAAAGAGAATTCATTGGTTCAATAATATCAATCGGTATAAAACGACAAATCAATACTATCGTTCATGACTGTTGAAATCAAATCAATGAAATAAAATCAATCAATGCCGTAGAATCGTATCAAAACGTACATTTGTAATTTAGTTATCCAATATCACGTGCTCAGTGAATCACATGCAATCCAATAGTCTATATTACATGTTCAATGAATCACATGTCACTTATTCATTATATCATGTGCATAATGTCAGTACAGTGAATCAGTAGTATCAGTGCCTGTATCAGTATCAGTAACAATCCAGTGACATGAACAATAATGCTATGATAGTAAAATCATACAGAAACAGTAAATCCGTACAATAACAATAAGAAAAATGATTAAACGCATGTAGTTTAGTAATCATACTCAACAAGTAAAAGTAATGGCTAGGTGTTTTCAGTCTTGTATCAGTATCAGTATCTTATATCTTGTATCCGTTGGCTCAGTAAAAAGAGTCGTCACTCTTTGCCCGTCGGCACAGTAATCATCTCCTTATAACTCCCTCAAATAATCACGTGATCAGTAGAGGATAATATCAAACCGTATTTAAAGGAAAGCCCGTCGGCCCACCATCCTGTACAGGTCAATTAGTCTCCAACCAACGGCTCAACCAGTTTTTACTTGTCTTTCACATACACAGTAGTGTCACAGTAATATAACTAACAATAATTTCAATCACATAACCATATTCATCATTATCTTATCAACACATTGCAAGGAAAACCGGGTTTCACAATCTCCCCACCTTAAGAAAAATGTCGTCTCCGACATTTCCCTTAAGGGTTCGAATACAAAATCGATACAAAACAAATCCGTCCAATCAAAATTCAAATCAAATTAAATCAAAATCAAAACTCGTCGAAAATCATACAGTCATACATCACATGTCATTCACTATGCATGATTTGTCAAGTTAATCAATTTGTCAAATAATCTTACTAGTAAAACTTTCAGGTCGTGGTTGATCTTCATAATGCTGTAAACTGTATACACGTGGCATCATTGGAGTAGGTGCAGTAGGTCGTGGTGCAACGATCTCCGTCTGACTATCACTAACAGCTCTATCATTCGTCCTGTTTGTTGATCTTTCATTATATGCTCTTGAGCCAACAGTCCTCTGTCCTGCAGTACGTCCAGGTCCAGTCTGTCCTGTACCAGAATCAGTTCTTTCTCCAAATCATTTCTGAGGACAATCTGCTACTCTATGTCCTTGATGTCCACAGCGAAAACATTGTCCCGTCAATAAATAGCACTAACATGCATGTCGTCGACCACAATGAATGCACTCGCTGTAGCTGCCAGAACATGCTACCAATGCAGATCCCTTTGACTCACTATACTTGCTTTTCTTATCTCTATCTCTTTCTCTACTCAGTTCATCTCTACTCCTCCTGGTGACTTCATATCTCGATGTTGGTATTGTCAAATCAATTTCTATCAGTCTGGCCCGCTCTACCAATTCAGAAAACTCATGAATCCGTAACGGTACTAGCAGATGTCTTAACTCTCTGTTCAATCCTTGCAGAAATCTATAGCATTTTTCTTTAGCAGTAGGGATCAAATGAGAAGCATACCGAGCAAGTGCAGTAAACTCGGCCTCGTAATGCATCACTGTCTTGTGTCCTTGCTCCAATTTGATGAAAGCTTCTTGCATTTGTCATCGGGCTAATGGAGGTACAAACCACATTCAGAACAATGTAGTGAACTCATCCCATGTGGTTCAGCATTTGTCTTCCTTTGAAATTTCTCTCTCTGCTGTCCAATCCACCGTCTCTCTGCTTCTCCTTCAAACATAAACACAGCCAAAGGCACCTTTCGACTTTCCGGACATTGCATGCTGTCAAAAATCTTTTCTATCCTCATTATCCAATCTTCAGCAGCCTGAGGTCCTACAGTTCCTTTGAACAACGGAGGCTTCAACTTATGAAATGTCTGTAAATGCTTATATGCTTCTTCTTGTTTACTTCCACTCAACTTACTCTGTGTGTCATCCATGACTTGTGCTATAACAGTAGCCAACTGCATCATACTTTCTGAGGGTACTGGAGCTGCACTGTGTTGCTCATTTGGCACACTTGACTCTGGATTATCCATTTAACTTTTCACATGCACAGTTCAGTATAATCTGAATGATACACACATGTAACTATATATGCAAAATGATGCACTTGAAACTACCCATTCTACCCAACTCTCAATCAAATCCTATAGCCCTGATAACAATCATTTCTTCCAATAACACTGCTCTGATACCACTTAATTGTGACGCCCCAAGATCTAACTTGGAAGAATTATTCAGTCAATCCTTTAAGTCAATCTTCTACCAGAGCTATCTATAGTCATTAATCAGTGACAACAGTCTAACAAAAATCTATAAGTTAAAAACATCAAGTAAATTTTTCTATTCATTCCCAAAAGTTCATTTACAAATACTCAGTATATACACATTAATCACATGTAATCTATCATGTCCTGAGTACAAAAAAATCATTATAACAAAAGGACAAAAACCTGAAGATTCATGTTCAACCTCAATCTCCTGCTCCCTTGCCCTGACCTGAAAATATTAACCACATATAATGAGCTTCAAAAAGCCCAGCAGGTCACCAAATACTTACAACTGAAATCAAATCACGGTACGAAAGTAATATGCATGTCAATCAGTCAAATCAATTTTAGTCACTTGCACATGATCATTGAATCGATGCAGAATCATAAATCTTGCATCAATAATAATCAATGCTTATACAGTAATCAGTACAGCAACGGTAGTCATATAGAAATAGTTGAATCCAAAATCATCGGTGATAGAATTAATGAACAGTAAAATCCCATAAAGCTCAATAAACCAGTACGTGTGTCAAATCTATACAGTAGTCGTTGTATTTATACCATCAAAGAAATATTCGTATCGGTAATACCAATCAAATCAGTCAATAAATCGTCATGTCCATAATATCAATCATATAAAGAGAATTCATTGGTTCAATAATATCAATCGGTATAAAACGTCAAATCAATAATATCGTTCATGACTGTTGAAATCAAATCAATGAAATAAAATCAATCAATGCCGTAGAATCGTATCAAAACGTACATTTGTAATTCAGTTATCCAATATCACGTGCTCAGTGAATCACATGCAATCCAATAATCTATATTACGTGTTCAATTTATCACATGCCACTTATTCAGTATATCACGTGCATAATGTCAGTACAGTGAACCAATAATATCAGTGCCTATATCAGTATCAGTAACAATCCAGTGACATGAACAATAATGCTAGGATAGTAAAATCATGCAGAAACAGTAAATACGTACAATAATAATAAGAATAATGATTAAACACATGTAGTTCAGTAATCATACTCAACAAGTTAAAGTCATGGCTATTACGGTATTTTTCAATCTTGTATCAGTATCTTATATATTGTATCTGTTGGCTCAGTAAAAAGAGTCGTCACTCTTTGCCCGTCGGCACAGTAATCATCTCCTTATAACTCCCTTAAGTAATCACACGATCAGTAGAGGATAACACCAAAACCATATTTAAAGGAAAGCACGTCGGCCCACCATCCTGTATAGGTCAATCAGTCTCCAACCAACGGTTCAACCAGTCTTTACTTGTCTTTCACATACACAGTAGTGTCACAGTAATATAACAATAATTTTAATCATATAACCATATTCATCATTATTTTATCAACATATTGCAACCAATAAACATGATTTAGCTCAATTTAGAAAATCCTTTAAAATATTATATAGTAGACAAAAGTCGTTGTAAAATGCACAGATCCAGAAAATTATCAAATTACTAGAAATCGTGTAAAACAATGTTTCAAAACTTTACTTGTACTGAATCAATATTTTTCAACATCCGGATAATTTTCTATTCGATAAAAATCTTACAGAATTCAAAATATCCGGTGAAAACTTTCCAGAAAATACTCAAAACGTGCAAAATCATCATTTCTATAACATACCAAAAGTTACGTCGTAAAAGTTTCGTCAATACAATGATATAAAAGAATTTTGGTAACGTAAACACAAAACTGAGCAGAAAAATACGAAAATACGAAATTTTCGAAATCAGAAATAGGATTCGGATTCCTTAATGCAAGATAAACAATTCTTCCAACTGCGTCGAAGGACGAAAATCGCTCCGCAGCCTCCAAAATCAAACATTTTTCCTCTTCTTTTTCTCTCTCATGCTTTTCTCTCTCTCCAAAAATATCTTAAAATATCTCAAACAGATATATACATAATAGGATCGTACGGGACGATTTCTTCTCTGGACAAAATTTGTTCAGACGAATTTGTTATCGTACCTGGACGACTTGCTCTCTGGACAAATTTCATCCCGACGAACCTAAATTCGTCCTGGGACGAACCTCTCTTCCCCCAGGTTTTGAACTGATCATCCCGGACGATCTCAACTTCGTCCGGACGAACTTGGAAGGAAAACCGGGTTTCACAATAAGTCACTTCTTTCTCCCTTGGATAAATATTACCTCCTACTTTATAGGAACTAGAAAATAAGCACCTTTATTTTTTGTAAGAGAAATATATAAGTATCTTTAACCATTTGGGCAAAATATTTTTTTAGAGGGGTTAAATTCCAAATTTAACCTTAATATAGGCTTTTTTTTGTGGGCTCTATGGGGATCCGCCCATGCATGGAGCCATGGGCGGATCCAAGTTCTACTGAGGGTGGGCAGACCACCCTAAAAAAATTATAATGAGGGCACTTTTTAAAGTTTGCTTCTTGCCCATCCTAAAAAAACAATTATAATGAGGGCATTTTTGAAAGTTTGCTTCTTGCCCATCCTAAAAAGTTTGCTTCCTGCCGACTACGATCCTTCTGACTTACGTCGTCCACCGACTACAGTCCTTCTGACCATCGTCACCCGCCGACTACGGTCCTTCCGACTTACATCGCCCACCAACAACGGTCCTTTCGATCTCCGTCGCCCTCCGACTACGGTCCTTCTGACTTACGTCGCCCACCGACTATAGTACGCCTGACCAAACAAACACATCAACAATGATTCTTTGTATTTACATTAATGTCGCCCACCGTTTACAGTCTTTCCGACCTCCGTCGCCCGTCGACTACGGTCCTTCTGACTTACGTCGTCCACCGACTACAGTCCTTCTGACCTCCGTAGCCCGCCAACTACGATCCTTCCGACTTATATCGCCCGCCGACTACGGTCCTTCCGACTTACGTCGCCCACCGACTACGATCCTTCCGACCTCCGTCGCCCGCCAACTACGATCATTCTGACTTACGTCGCCCACCGACTACAGTTCGTCCGACCAAACAAACACATCAACAATGATTCTTTGTATTCACATTATGTAATGTACTCTATAAGATGTACATCAAGCTAAGATCTTCCCCCAAGGAAGAGACTCATTTGTAATCGACTGCAAATAATAATGGATTCATTCAAACTGGGCTAGGCCCAGTGGTTTTTCCTCCTTTTCAGGGGTTTTCCACATAAAAATATTGGCCTCTCACAAATGCTACAAGCTCTCTCTTATCTGATTGCGTGCCGGATTTTCAGACAAAGTTAAGACGTTAAATTTTATATTTCTCTACTGCCGTGAATACTCCTGGACGCAACAGTTATAGTTAAATTAAAATTTCCTCAGTCTTACTTCTTCTTCTTGTTCGGCTATTCCTCCATTCTCTCTTTTCTTTTCCTATTTCTAGAGTACAGGCAACTTGATCTATCAAGATATCAAGTTGGAGAAATTATTTCGTGCGGAGTTCGGATGGTAACAACCTTCCGGTTATGTAAGTGTGTACAAAAATTTGATACACATTGTATATAAATTTGTACATAATGTGTACACTTATATGTCCGGACGGTTGTTCCCTTCTAGACTACACAATGAATAATTTCTCATGCCGTGGGAAAATTTTTTTTCATGAATGCCTTGAGGGAAACATAGCTAGGAATAAATGTAACTTAGAAATTATGCTAAAAAAAGTAGTTAAAAGTTTAATAAATATCATTAAAAAATGAAGAAAAGAAAGACATATAACTAGAGTAATATGACTTAATTTTACACATAAGTCAAGATTTAAGCAGAAGCCTTCCTCATCATAATTTTTGTTAACAATATAAGAAAACTATAAACTGAGAAACTTTTTCTAAGCACAATCATTGTTACGCCTCAAGATCTATATTAAAAGAATTGCATTTGTCTTTCATTTTATTATTTAACTAGAGCTTATTAATTTCTTGTGAACAACAGAGAGAATTATGTATGCTATATGGAGCCTCATATCATAGAATCTTTAACTTTACTTGGAATCATGTAAAATCACGTAATGAGCATATAGCTCAACTAGGAGTGTCAAAAGTTGACACGACTCTAAATTCGACCTAGACCCGACTAGGGAAAACCCGGGTTTGGGTCAACCTATTTGTAGAACGAGTAGGGTCTAGGTTCGGATTTTTCACCCATCTGAAAATGGGTCGAGTTCAAGTTGACCCGAAAACCTAAATTTCCCCGGTTAACCCGGATCCCACGTGATGACTCCATCCTAGATCCTACGCACGATCGATGGTCGACCCTGCCTCCTCCCGCTTATCACATGACCCATAACCACGACGAACGCGACCTAGCCCAGTCGTCAGTCTCCAGCCACACGCGATTGTGCCCCAGCTCCTGAGAAGCGGAAGGTTGGAGGGATCGAAGTCAGTGGATGATGATGGTCGAAGGGACCATAGTCGGGCGACTGAGGTCAAGGGGATGAGAGTCGGGCGACGGAGGTCTGAGGGACCTAGTTTTAGGGCGACAGAGGTTGACCGGAGACTTGGCGGCAATGGCCTGGCGGAGGTCCAACTGTGATGGTTAGGCAACTGTTAGACAACGATGGCCCAGCGGGGGCTCGGCAGTGGCGGTTTGGTTGATTTCCGACGATAATCGGTAGGTTAAAGTTCGGCGGCAATGGCTGGGTGACAAGTGTTCGTCGGTAATGGTGCTTCAGGATTCCACAAGCTTTCAAAATCTTTTGAATTTATAGCCCAAAATCCAAGCTTTTGAAAGTCTAAGCCCCTTCATGTGGGAATTGAGGGCCTATTTATAGAAATTTTAAAGTGGCATGCTCCGTAAATATGGAGAAGATTCGGAGCAAATTTGGAAATTATTCCATCGGATGGCTCATATTGATTCCCTCGATCATAGTGTTTGTTCAGCATTTAAATGTCTTAATGATGGCATAATTAAGGGAACTTAGGCTCGTTGGATTCGTCTAGTCGAGCTGCTCGTTTCGACTATAAGCATGTCATATTTGACTATCATTTGGTCACCCAATTAATATTCTTAAGCTTACAAATATGCTTCAAGCTAATGATTTGGGCCCATTTGGGCTCGGATTGGACCAACTTTGATGTTGTTGGGTTCGTCTCATCAAAATATTCAGTTTGAGTATAAGTTTACTAAAATTATGGTTTAGATGATCCCAATTTTAATTTTGGAAGTTTCCAAGCGATATATGTCTCGAGATTCGTGCCTGATCAAGATGATTTTTTGTGACATATCCCCAACTATTTAGGATGGCCAAATGTGACGATTAAATGTAGGACACGTTTATATTAGAAAGAGGAATTTACAATATATATGCATCAACTATAAGCTCCTATACCAATATTTAATAACCATGAACTTAAACTTCAGGAGCTGACAAGGTAATTTGCGCAAAAATCAATATGTTAGTTAAAGACATGAAAAAGAACTAGCTTAGCTGGACGCATGATTTTGTTATTAAAGGTGCGGTATGGTGGATTTAGCTTTGCTCGGCCATTTTGAATATGCCAACTGGTTATGTCGGCGTAGTAATAGATTAAATTCATTCACATATAATGTTTAGTACTAGTATTTTTTATAGTCATTTATATATTTTTAGCCTTGTATTTCTTTTTTAGATATTTAATTTCTCATTTGTTATGAAAATCTAACTAAATGTTTCCTCATGACTATTCGAAAACCTTATTTTAATATGTTTTTTTAACTATGCAGATTAATATGACTCTTAAGGACCTTTGTGAAACCACAACGAAGAAAATCAATCCAACTTTAGGATCCGTGCAAAGTTCATTAAGTGGCTGTAGCTTGATACAGAATGTCCAAGTTCAGGAACTTCTTTCTTCTGTGGTGTCAGCTCCGCAGCCTTGTTCTCTTCAAGTTATTTCAACGCAAAACCTTTTCTCAGAATCTTATTCTTCCAAGTGCTTACATTCCTACAATCCTCAAGCACAGATGAGCGACATCCTTAAACTTCAACACGTTCTACCAGGACAGACAACACTTACATCCAGTGTTTTACCTGGTTATGTGTCCTCAAACGATCTGTCAAGACACGCCACGCAGTCCGTAGGAATTTCACCTGGGACCTTTTCCATGCCGTCAATGCCAATAGAGAAAAACGAAAAAATATATGCATGTCGGAAGTTTGCTTCTCCATTGGTAATGAATAGACCTTCAGAACAACATGCTGCAGCAAGTGAATCTTCAGTTCAAAGAAAATATAAATTTAACGTTGAAGTTGACGGTGATAAAAAACCAGCCTATATAAGGCAAAATCTACAAGCGGTTGATATAGAATCTTCAACTTTTCAAAACAATTCTTGCATGACGAGTACTTTTCCTGATGATGTGTCTCTAAAAGCAGCCAATTTTCAGCAGCTTCAGATGATTACAGATCGGGTATTTCTAATTCTTCTTGGCTGCTTACGGTTTCAGTATGAAATGTTTTTTTCTTCATATTTTTGGTTTAAGTTTATCATCTTTTATGCGTATATCGACTCGTATTCTCATTTGTTTGCACCTGTGTATCTTATATCATCCAATTGACTCACGCTTTCAATTAAGTTCGTTATCTTAGAACCTCTGGTTAATGCACACTAAATATGAGGGATAGCTTACGTATTTCATGGATTAACTATTCCAAATTGTGCATATCATATGCCCAGAGAAAGAAGCAGCTCATTTTATATTTTAGAACTTCAAAAGCACCATTTCATGCAATCTTACTCAGATGATATGTACTGACTGTTTAATTTGTTGTATATTAATATGTCTCAGTTCCTGGTGGACTCTCCATACATCTATTGGTTGTTCTAAAGTTGTCTTTCTCGTCTTTTAATCAGCTAGGTGTTAGAACTAAGCTGTGCATAAGGGACAGTTTGTATCGTTTGGCAAGAAGTGCTGAAAAAAGCCATTACTATGGCACTGCAAAAGATGTCAGCATTGGAAGTAGCTCTATGATAGGACTTCAGGGTGCCAAAGATTCAAAGAGGTATGCTGACCCAGCGTTTTGAGATTACACTGAAATTTTGTTTACTAATTATTTGTCTTGGCTGGCTACTTTCTACATAACAAGCTTATATACTTAGAAGGTCAAATGCCTCATCTCATTTATATAATTAACATCTTTTTATAATCATCATAAGATTTTGATACGCCAAGGGGAAATGTTTAGGAAAATTTTCTAATTCTGGTTTATGCTGTTTAGGAAAATTTCCTAATTGTGTTACATTAGGGTTTATTTGTTTAGCGAAGGTTTCTTAATTGTGTTTATTATGTTTAATAAGATTTTCTAAATCATGTTTAATTGTTTAGTAAGATTTCCTAAATCATGTGTAATTGTTTAAAAAAGTTTCCTAAATCATGTTTAATTATTTAGGAAGTTTTTCTAAATTATGTTTAATTGTTTAAAAAGGTTTCCTAAATTATGTTTAATTACTTAGGAAGATTTTGTTTTTATTAGTATGGCTAGGGCTATTTAAAGGGAGCTGTCTAGGGCTTAGATTAGGCAATTGATGAGTTTTATGCTTGTTGTAGTTCTTTTCTTTGAGGGCTTTCTAGCAGCGTCTAGGTTAAATAAGAGAGCCGATCTACCTCTCTAATCATAGATAACATCTTGTATTTTCCTTCATATATAATCTAATAAAAAGTGTTTTTGAGTGTTCTTCTTCATCGGTTACTTGTTACCAATTTCTATTTTGCTAAAATTAAATATTCAACCAAGGTTTTCTTCAAGTTCTACATCTACTTCGTATCAAATTGGTATTAGAGCAAAGTTTTGGAGAGATGGAAGGAAAGAAGATGGATGCGTTGGAAGGAAAAGTTGAGCAAATCAAATCTCGGATGGAGGAAAAGTTCTCAACCATCGAAGGGAAGTTTTCAACCATGGAAGAAAAGCTCTCATCCATAGAGAATTGCTTTGAAAACTTGGAAGATGTGATGAAAAAAATGATCGAGACAATCAAAAGCTTCACCGATGATTCCTAGGGTTAAACCAAAGGTAAAGGAAATTCTAGAGGAGATGATGATGAAAAAGCTTATGGAGATGTGATCCAAAACTCCACTAACTATACCAATTGTTAACCTTAATCAAGATTTGATCGGGATTCCGTTGGCCGAATCTAAAAGGATATGGATCGGACGGGATATTAGGCATTTAAGGTCTATTATAAAAAAGATTCACTAATAAAAGCATAAAGCCGATGATGAACCTGATTCTCTGTCGACAACTAGATAGAGTCTACAAGGTTCGACCAACAAAATAAAATTACCTATAAGAACCCCAATGATGGCCGTGTTGATAAAAAATCTCAATTGGAGGGAACCCCTTAAACATTCAAAATACCTTTCAAATTCTTGGAAATTTTTGAAACTCAAAAGTCATCAAAGCCTAAATATTTAAAATTGAATAAAAAAATATCAAAATACTTAAAGCAGAATCCATCCATTCTCTGCAACAATTGCTGAGGTGGATAAATCTAAAAATCACTTCAGCTCACAAAGAGCAAATGTCTGGTTGAGAATATCACTAAGATTCATTTTCAATCTATCTCTTGCCAGTAAGGACGCGTGACTTTCTAACCGGGTAGTTTTGCCACCAAATGGCATCATTAAATTATGGTCAAGATCATAGCCCGATTCCCAACTGCTTCAAATCTTTGAGTAATGAATTAAATATGTGATGTGGAACAAAACATGCGATGGAGTTACTTTAAGAAATTAAAGAGAGCAATTTAAACAAAATAATCCAAATAAAATTTTCACTTATAGCAAAAGTTTAATCCTTGGAATTCGTGGTTTTTAACTTGCTTAGGCTAAGAAGAGCGGAGTCGATCAACCAAACAATTTAAGAAAATGCAAAGATCAATTGTAAAACTACGACGATATACAAGAATCCGTGATTTAATAATGAGAACTTTCACCTTCGAAGCCCAAACGCTCAACTAGTCTAGGCTTTAGCGGAAGAAGAGTCTCCACATTAGAACCGAGGTCACTCCGAGGAAGGAGCCTAAGATCGTCATTCTTGGATTGGTGGCCGGAGTGGTTGAGGATGGCGGTCGTCCAAGGATGATCCAACGTCCCTTCGATCTTTGCTCGTCGATCACATCAACTAATGTGTACTGGATGCGGTCGATGTAATCTTCAACATGTCGGTTCGACTTGAAGCCCCAGTCAAAGAAACGGTGATTGGAGGATACTCAAACACTCGCTGCACAAACCCAACAGTCCCAACTCGGTTCCGCCATACATTCTTGCCGGGGCTGGAAGTATGCACCAAATAGGAATTTGTGAAAAAAGAGAGGAAGAGGTGGCGTGTTGTGGATGAAGGCTAGATAGGCTAAGGAAAATTAATTTCAGCAAACTGAAATTATTTTCATGTGTAAGTACATGGGAAGAATAATTGAAAATATCAAAGTTAATTCCAAAGGAAGAGGGCGGCGAGTACATGAGAGGAGGATGTTGGGGCTGATTTTGTGGAGCTATTAAGGTGATAGGAGAGAGAGAGAGGGGCCCCATTGAAGGGGCCGGCCAAGAGAAGAGAAGAGGGAGGGGTTAATTTAAGCGACGTGCTGGATCACAGATTGATTTCAGAATTATTAACAAAATCTGAAATTAAAATTCAGTTTTAATAGCAATAGGAGGTTCTCAATTAAAAACAATCCAATGGATGGATTTGGAATTTCAACTTTCAATTTCAATTTAATTTATTTTGATTGCATGAATTAAGGAAGCAATTAGTGAAACAATTTATGGCTAATTGAAACTCCCAAAATTTCAGATTTGAAATTCGAAGAGGAGGGGGAGAAGGATTGGCGGCCGAAAGGTGGAGAGGGTACCGGCGGGCTGGAGCTATCGGTGGCGGATGGTGAAGGATTGGCCTGCAGGAGGAGCCTTGCAGGTCGGCAGGATGGACCTTGGGAGCCACGGTCTGAATGGTTCCAGGGGGGGCGCACGTTGGGCAACAGGGTGAAGGGAGAGGAAGGGCGGCTGGCAAGGATCCAGTGATATAGAAAGATAGCGAGATCAGGATTAATATGCCACGGTTCACCTTGATTTCCCACCTACCACTGATCACAAAGATAAGGAGAAGAAGGGCCTAGAACTCACAAAAGAGTCTAAGCTCTCCAAACTCCTAAGAGATGAGGAAAGAGTGCATCACAAAGAGAAAAAGGAAGATAATTTTTTCATTCATCAAAACTAACTATTACATGAGAAAAGGCCTTATAAAATAGCCTTCAAATAATGACAAAGAAGCAAAAGACTAAAATGCCCCTTGGTTACCAGCAGCGCAAATAGCCATAGGGAAAAAATGGGAAAAACATAACAATAAAAAATTAAACTAACTAACATTAAAACGATGAAAATACAAATCGATGATCGTGATCGTCGATCTCCGGCATCTCCTGAAGTACATGTAGTCGAATCGCTGCTTGGATGTCCCCATCAATATGATATGAATCCAATAGGGCACAAAGCCCTCATATTAGCTAAGGTTGGATTCAAATTGTCCTTAGACAAACATTCACCTCATGTTTACAAGGTACTCTTGGACGAAAGCAACCCTATGGGCTGCTAGCAAGAATCTTTCTGTAGGTGAGTCCGAGTACTCCTTCTGACTAAGAAGACCAAGATCATGATGACCTGGGACGACAGAAACCATGGATCTTGATTCAGGGTTCTACATCATTTCCCCATCATCCACTTTAATTGCAGGTGGTGAATTTTAATTTTAATATTAAATTTCAAATATCAAATTATGCTCTACTATACGCCGGATACTAAGTATCTACTTGACGACTAACCTTAATCGAAAATTCTCTCTCGTTATTTGGGGGGGGGGGTTAATTAACTATAGGGGCTTGCGCCTATAGGAAACTTGAACTCATGTCATAAAGTCCTCGCAAAAATGAGGGTAAAATATTTGAGTAGTGTCTTATTCAAAAAACAATCTGCCTTCTGAAAGATTGCCTCAGAACTTAAACGTTAAAACTCTCCTCGACGACACGAAAATGATAAAAGGGCCGCGGAGAGGCTAGGGCGCAAATCTTTGGAGCCCACAAAAACTTATGACCACTTTATCCCGCCTGCAATTAATCAACTCTCACATATTCATATGAGGAAGTTTTCAAGAAGCAGGTTTAATGAAAGATGCATCAGACTCTCAATTATATGCGACTACAGGATTGTCACCTTTATCTTTCACCTCTTTTGGGCTTTGCTTGTTAAAAGGAAATTACAGTGAGCAGGTTTAATGAAAGATGCATCAGACTCTCAATTATATGCGACTACAGGATTGTCACCTTTATCTTTCACCTCTTTTGGGCTTTGCTTGTTAAAAGGAAATTACAGTGTTCAGTTTCACTTTGCTGAGATAATAATCAATTATTATAATGCATATTTCAGTCCCGAAAGATGGATATTTGGTGTTTACATACAAGGGAAGCTTGTCGTAAAGAATTTCAATATTAGAGATAATGCTAATGGTTCAAACAAAACCATTTATGCAGTTGTTTCTAGGAAGAGATTGGAGATCCGATTCCATTGGGCTAGGAAAGGAAAAACAATTGTTCTTGTAGCTGGAACATATGGTCCTCTTATATCAGCTATATCGGTTGAGAGCAATTTCAATTCTCCAAGTAAAAGCAATTATTCTACTCGTTTAGTGATCAATTGTGCTATAATTTTTTTCTATCATCCTTGTGTTTGTTGCTTGGAAGAAAGGCTATACCTTAATCAATCAAAGACTATTAGACCATGGACGTCACCCTATAGAAGGGTGATACCCTATAGAAGGGTGATACCATGGACTATTATACCACACTAGCTGCGGGAGTTCTACGATAGTGCCATCGGAGGACATTTGAGGGTACTGAAGACCTATTGTATGATTGTGGAAAAATTGTATCGGAGATGGTGGCTAGCTGTGATATCTGTCAGAAGCACAAATACATGGTGATGGCTCCAGGTAGACTTATAGGTGGACAATACCTTTCGTTCCACCTTGAGGATAAGGTGGCTCTTTGGGAGGGGAGTATAGATATGCTAAGCGAGAGATGTTTAAGAAAGTTTTATAATTGTGTTTATGCTATTTAGGAAGAGTTTAATTAATTAGGAAGGTTTCCTAATTGTGTTATGCTAGGTTTATTTATTTAGGAAAAGTTTTCTAATTGTGTTTATTATGTTTAGAAAAGTTTCCTAAATCATGTTTCATTGTTTAGGAAGGTTTCCTAAATCATGTTTAATTGTTTAGATTTTAGAAAAGTTTTCTAAATTATTATTTAGGAAGATTTCCTAAATTATGTTTAATTGTTTAGATAGATTTCCTAAATTATGTTTAATTGTTTAGGATGACTCTATTTGTGTTAGTATGGCTAGGGTTATTTAAGGGGGAGTTTATAGGGTTTAGATTAGGCTATTGTTGAGTTATATGTTTTGTTGTAATTCTTTTCTTTGAGGGCTTCCTAGAGGCGTCTAGGTTGATTGGGAGAACCAATCTACCTCTCTAATCGTAAATCAAAACAAATTTTATTTTGTTGAAATTGAATATTCAATCAAGGTTTTTTTCAAGTTTTGCATCTGCTTCGTATCAGATTTCTGCTATCACACCCCGAGTCCGGAAGGGATTATGTTTAAAAAAAATAATATTGTGTGATTGGAGTATTATGTTTAACTTTTTATAGTTGTCATTACACTATGTCATAGTCATGTCATATTTGTATTCGTGTCAATGCCTATGCTTTAGAGGCTATTTAATTGTTCTTTGATGGATTATATGTGTTAGTTTGTATATAATTTAAATAATCAATAAATTCAACCCAATAGATTTGGATGTTTGAGAAGAATTGTATGTGTATTAGTTGCTATGATGGTTTGTGCCTAATCTAAAGTAAAAGTTCTCTAGTTATGATTTAGTCAGATGTGGTATCTTATTTGTCAAAGTCACATTGGATCAGTTCATCATAAGAAATACTAGTGGTTGACTTCTCTCAAACACAAATCTCTTAAGGAAGTCTTTCTAGAAATTCCTATGAGAAATACCATTTCACCATGAATTCCCTTTGCGATTTGTGAAATTCTTGGAATTTGTATTTCATCAATCAAGTGATGTGAAACGTAAATGCCATGTACTTGCCTAGGTGGCAAGATTAATTAAATCCCAAATCAATTTGGGGAGAGAGAATGGAAATCTGAAATTAAATTTCAGATTAAGTGGAATTGGCGGGATGAATTTGAATTTAAATTCAAATTTAATGGGGAGAATTAAATTGGATGAGAGGGAATTGTGGGAGGTAATTATGGAGGCTTAATAAGGGGGCCTATTAATGAGATAGGAGAGAGATTATGCCCAATGAGGGGGCCGGCCGCATAGAGAGAGGGAGGATGTTATTTGTCATAAGTAAAGTGGGGCCCACATTACTAATCAAAGATTTAATAAAATCTGAATTAAAATTCAGATTTTGAAAGAAATGAAAGTTTCCAATAATGGGGCTATCAATTAGAATTAATTTGAATTTCAAATTCAAATTGACATCCAATTAATATGAAAGCCTTAAATCAAGGAACTATTTTAGGAAAGTCTTCAATGCATCTTGGAAACAAATTTGAATTTCAAATTTGAAATTCCCAAGAGGGAGGCCGGTGGCTTGGCCGTCCCAAGGAGGCCGGCGGAGCCGCCGGTGGCAGGATTGGCCTGGGGTGGCCGGTGGCAGGATTGGCCTGGGGTGGCCGGCGGTGGACTTATGGGGGCCGGTGGAGGGGATTTGGGAGGAAGAGAGTTTGGTTAGGTAGAGAAGAAACAAATTGGGTTTAGGAAAAAGAAAATCCGGAGCTACACACCTCGAGCAACACCTCCAATAGAACTCACAAAGAGATCTACAAGCGCCACTTCCTCAAGAACTCACAAAGAGATCTTGGGAATCTCGGAACTCCCAAAGAGATCCTTCCACTTCCCCCTGTTTATCTCCTTAGGTTCAAGTTTTTGAGTTGTAAAAAATTTGATTATGGTATATGAAGGCAACGTTTTCTCCCCCTTTTGATCCATACTCCTTAAAAAGCTGATTGAGCTTCAAGTATTTGTTTAGCTTGTAATACCTGAACAACCAAAATCCATTTAGTTTTGGCATATCAAACAATCAAATACACACCTTCGTAAATAGTTTCCCTTTTAGTGGATTATACTAAATAAATGGAAACAACAGTTTATTGCTGGTCATGTTCATTAAGTTATGACAAAGGGACTCGCCTTTGGGGATAATGGATACATTATTAAAAGAATATAAGGATGCAACGGCCAACAATTCTTGTGCAAACAAAAAACATGCATAAGCAGCAGTTGAATCAATTCACCTATGCTGCTTACCGTTAAAAGTAAATCATAGTCCTACAACATACATGCATAAATAGCAAGCAAATTTGCACATGTAACTTACAAAATTATAAATATAGAATTTTTTAAAAAACTTTGAGTGGGAGTACCATAAGAAAAATTAAGTTTACAGTCATACCTTCAATCACATAAAATATAAAACTATCATACCTTGTGCAACACCGATGACAAATTTGTGATGCTTCATCAAATAATCTTGAAGAATTTCTGACATCTTGTACATTATTCTTAAATATTTTTTTTAAGCAACAATTCTTTGTGCTTCATTTTTTGCAAGTTCTTTTTATAAATGAAATAAAGAGTGGCGTAGCGACGGCCGTGTCTCACCTAATTAAGACTTCATTTGGGATGACTTTCTTTCTGCTTCTTAAAACAGCTTTCTAGTACAAAAATAATAATTTTTGTACTAAAAAGCTGCTTTTAGAAGCAGAAAGAAAGCCGTCCAAGTAATTAAATGGGGTGAATCTACACTAGTGTGACACCCTATGTTGGATCTACCCATCACCATCCAGCAAGATTTTTTGTTTTGAACATTAGAATCTCGTACTAAAAATGTATAATCAAGTAACTTGCAATGTTACCATTTGATGTTTATATCTGCCTTTTGCAGGCCTCCTGAAATCTACGGTGTATCGATTAGCACAAATGCAATAGAACGTTCTGTAGCCTACCTACTTTTTCACAAGTCATTGGAGTCTGGTGCAGGCACTGCAGATAATAACATATGCTTCAAACCACCCATTCATGTTAGCTCTTCCAGCCCTACAAAACTAATAATTCTACCTTACTTATGCACATAGTCTTACTTTCTAACACTCTTTCATCAAAATGAACAGATCCATGGCCCTGTTGGCAATTGTAAAGAACCCAATCTACCTGCTTCATGAAGATCATTTAATGGTACTGGAAATACAAACAAGTTAATAACCTGCAGCAGTAAGGAACTTATTCAAACAACATTTGTATGACTTACGATAATATCAACATTATTTTCGCCACCTGTTGTATCTAAAGTCTTAAATACTTATTTACATGTCAGGACTAATTTACATGTATCGCACGGATTGAGGCCAAGTGCACAAATATCTTATGCATCACTTGACATTTATAAATAAAATGTTCTGATACTGCATAACCATATGTAATTTTTTATGTCTTTCACGTCCCATTAAATTGTTGTCAACGCACATAGCCTAAGACGATAGTTTTGGACTAATGGCTAATTCTTCTCTTATAACCTTAAAGGGAAAGATGATCTCGGCTAGCCCATCCAGGCTGGTGAAGCAGCCAAGCATAGCCTAACAATGCCCTAGCAGGTACCTGTCTTATTTATGCACTCATGTTTTCTTTTTTATGGATGCCAACCTTCTTAAGCTTCTGAAACACTATTGTTGCTTCCTGGATTACATTTTGCCTCAGGTTTCCTCAAAATATTTTGAACTTCGAAAATTTTATGTTTTTGTCGTCTTGGTCGATTAAGCCAAATATTTATATGATTAATTGTCATGTAGGGTAGGGGTAGGTCCTTATGATTACAATAGATAGATGAATCGTTGAGGTTTTCAATCGTAAATAATAACAAACTGAATACTAAGGCTTCGTTTGATATGGTTTTCTTTCTGCTTCTTAAAGCAGCTTTTTAGTACAAAAATTTTAAAAAAATCATCCCAAACAAAGCCTAAATTTCAATGATGAACTTGAAAATAGCATGAGATCTCCCCTAATCTTATAGCATTTATGAGAACTTGATTATAGGAGTATACATACACTAGGGATTTCTTCTATGTTTAAAAGGATTGGTTGATCTTAAGCATTAATCACTCCACTTCAAACTAGTGAAGAAGACAAACTTTTGGTATTGAGACAAGAGAATAATGTTCATTTTCCAAAAACCAACATTCTTAATGATTCAATAAGATGTCCCTAACCAACTCTCAATCTTGAATATAATTAGTAGTGTTATGAAAGGTTTGTGAGTTCATAAAACTGAATTAATATTTACAGGTTTTATATGAGCTGCTAGAGAGACCTTTATGGCGACTTGCGTTTAATACCCAAGTAGTAGTAGAACAAAAAAAATATTATAATTTAGAAAGTTAAGACATTTGCTTGGAACTATGAAACAAACTGGCTAAAGTTTGCATGGTAGCAAGTCAATTCATTCCTCTTGTTGTAACGTAAACCATATAGGCGATATGGAAACTGTAGTGGTCTTTAATCTATTTGGTCATCATAGAATACCTGCAAGAGAACGCAAAAAGCAGTTCAGGTCTTTGATTTTTTATTTTTTTTTTCCTTTTCAGGTATAAGTAATTTGTGTAGCTCTGTTTTGAAGTATTGTAGGTTAATGAACTGTAAGCTTAATCAGCCATAATCGGCATTTTAGAAGATGGCCAAGGGCTCAAATCCCTTAAAGAAAATTAAGGGACTCTGGGATCCAAGCTCATGATGATATTCTGCTCTTATTTTCGTTAGAATAAGCTAGAAATATGACCCTTAGTATTTTAATTTTATTGTAATAATATGAAATCACATAAGTTATTCTTATGAAAAAAAACTATAAAATAGACATGGTATAAACACTATTAATAAATTTAACTCTGATTAAAAAAGTAATTGCCATAAAAATTGAAATACAAACTCCTAATACCGATAATAATTTTGTAGATAAAATATAAATTGATGAAATTATTTATTATAAGATTTATAACATAATAATAAAATATATGCCGCATGCCAATTTGTGGAACTCATGATATCTTCAACTTATACTTTTACCAAAGCTTATATTTATAATCCTATTTAAAAAATAATTTTATAACTCTCCATTTGAAATAATTTTATAACTATAAATCTTCATTAAACTTATATATACCCGTATGCTTAATTTAAAATAAAAAACTTAAAGCTACTCAAGTATCATAACTGCTATAAATATGGAATTTTCTAATTTTATGTCATTCTATAAAAACTTATATAACTATTTAAAATCCATATGAATAATTTGTTTAATATAAATTTGACTATCAATATACTATCCAACTCCCAAATAAAATCAAATTTTTACACATCTCTAATTCTTTATTTCATTTTGAAAGTATTTAAACACCACATATTTCATTTTGAAAGTATTTAAGCACCACACAATTTCAAATATTTGTATTTCATTTTGAAAGCATTTAAACACCTTACAATATCAAATGTTTAAAATCAATGTGTGAATATATTACATTCAAGATTCATTAATATTATTTATTTCTTTAATAAATATCCAATAAATTTAATCATTTTCTTTATAATCTTTTTTTTTTTCAAATAGCACTCTTATTTTTAAAGACAAAATATAATATAACATTTAATTAAAAATACAATTTAATTTTTTTATAAAATATTGATATAGTGCCCTTGAAGAACATAATTTCTTACTGATGGTATTTAAAAGCCACGAGTAAGCCTAAATAAGTGACTACGGCTTCGTTTGGGACGGCTTTTTGATTGCTTCTTAAAACAAAATTTTAGTACAAAACTTTTAATTTTATACTACAACTCGTTTTAAGAAATAAAAAAAAAATTGTCCCAAACGAAGCCTACATGAGACTGGAAATCCCCAAACCCATCAGTATATTCCATCGCGACTTGAAGCAATATCAGAAGTTCTATAAAACCAATAAGATTATTTTATTTAACTAATAAGTTTTGAAAACCAAAACGTGGCCTTCCCACAAATTAAGGAAAACAAGCACCTATTCTCATTCTCTCCTATCTTTCCACATGAAAACCATGCATACCGTTTCTAGATGCCTTGAGTCTCTTGGGATGAAGCAATATTGACTTCAATGTATGTTCCCAACTGCTCGTCAAATGAGTACCTGAATTAAGTAAAATGAAACCGATCAGTCTTTTGTATATTTAGGGCTCCAAAAATTCTGTATCAAAATAAAAAATTACTCGAGATGAGTTTTAAAACTATTATATTTATATTGAAATGAATACAATGCATATAAAATCAATCAAAAGTTACATTACAATAATTTCAAAACAATTTGAAAATTTCTACGTAAGGCTTCATTTGGGACGACATTTTTACTATTTTTTTCAAGTAAATTTTAAATATAAATTTTTTTTGAATATTTGTTTTTTGAACGGGGTATCCACCCGCTGCCACCCCCGAAAGGGCGCTTGGTGGCGTGACTAATCCTTGGCTGACTTAAAAGAGGCACCAACCCTAGAAACATCATGGCCCGCACTTGATTGGGTCCCACTTAAGAGATGCTGCCGCTCAAGAGGAATCAAGCACGGGGTTAGGGGGATCCCAACCGCACTCGCCCACCAATCAAACTAAGCAACGGTGGGTAAAAATTTTATATTATAAAGATGTTTTAGAAAGCAGCAAGAAAACCGTCCCAAATGAAACCCAAAACACAAGTTGGGATATCCTAACCCAATTTTCTTTCTTGAAGTATCAAAGTGGGACAAAATCAGCACAAAAGCCCTAGGAAGAAAATGTGCAATTAAAATTACCATATTCCTGATGCGGCACAGCAATAAAGCTTCGACATAGGGTCGTAATAATAGCCCAAGGTGCCACTGTAATAGTAACTGTAAGGAAATGAAATGCGAGTTAACTCATTGCTATCAAGTAGTCAATCTCTAAGTGGATGAATGACAGTGTCTTCTATTATAGAAATGAAGACAAATCATATAATACATAAATAAACAAATAAACACAGACAGGTATCTTACATGGCAGAAACTAAACTACTTTCAAATCACCAGAAGAAGGTTATGCAACGAAGATTAGAACAAATCACAATGAGTAAGTGCAACAAATTTGGGCCGTTTAAAGTAATGTCATATCAAATACTCAGCTAAAACAACTCATGATAGCAGTAAAAAAATGAACTGTCAGTAAATGTTTAAGCTGTTGCTTGCAACCACACGAATATGCACTGTTTAAGTGTGTTCCTCGAGTTCTGGAAGCATGAAAGACTTACACATGCGGTGTCATCACTTTTGAGCTCGCCTTTTGAGCTCGACTCGAGCTCGAGCTTGCTTTCTCGATAGTGTCAAAACTCGACTCAACTCGTTTACACCCTTACTTCACAGTAATCAAATTGTGATATGCAATGTACAAAATGCAGAGCAAAGTGAAAGCACTATCAAACAAAGGCAAGCATGAAACTTACAAAAGAAGCCAAAAATATCGAACATAAACTGTTCAGCAGTCAAAAATATCTTAAAATTACATTGGTTGCGGAACTCTATGCAATTTGAAACCAGAATACACAAAATCCTCCCTAAAACAATCACCGAAAAATAAAATGGCCATGGAAAAGTGCTTTGCGTCACTGATAACCAAATTTATTGTGGTAGAAATCATAATTCAATCTATTCTGTTAGAAATTATAGTTCTAATATGGATGTGCGTGATTAAATTAATGGGAAGATGTGCGTAACATTAATTGAAAATGAGATAATAGAAAACAAACTTAAGTAGCTTGAGCATATGTAATGAAGATGAACCAATAAGACAAGTTGTTATAATAATAAGCATAAAATGATTAGAAATAAATTTGCATAAAATAGATTCAAGCAACTATTAGGATAACACTAATGATGATAATAACGAAAAAAAAGGTAAGACTGTTGGATTGAGGCTAATAATGACACATGAGAAACAATAAAGATTAATTTCATGATATGTAGATTTAATAGAAATAAATTAATAATGCTCTTAAAAAATGGGACCAACACCTACATAATTTAGGTTTAAATAACTTGGATATATTATTAAAAATAATAAGGACGCATTGATTTTACAATTAAAATTAGGTGATTAAAATAAAAAGTGCAATTATGTGATGATAAGATATGATGGAAAAAAATAAATTTTATAAAAGTGCAATAATAACATATGCAAAGTGTTGTGCAAATTTTGTTATGAATGAACTTTGAATTTAAGTGCCGCCTTATTCCTCCCTTACATGAAGGAAATATGATTTTCAATGCACCCAAGCACACATCTTAAATTTCAAAGGAATCCTTCTATCATGATCACCAACATCGGTAGCCCTTTCGTCTTGACTTCTCTTAATTTCTCTTCCTAGTAGATATCCTCCCCACCTTTCTATCTTTTTCTCTCTAAAATCTCTTTTTGAAGGCCTAATTCATGCCCTCCAATCAATGGATTGAGTCCATGAACACAAAATTCTAGAGGTAAATTTGAGAAGAGAGGAAAAATCAAGATAATCACCATCATCAATTTGATATTAAAGCGGTCTTACTTATCAATCTGGTGTTAGATAAATTATATCAATTTGGCATCAGAGTAGAATTTTCTAAAGTTAATTGAATAAAAATCCCCATTTCCCTTCCCCTTGTCTCAAAATTATTTGAACAAAGACAGAGCAAATAATACGGATTTTTAATGGGTGTGACAATTCTTAATCAACATTATTAAAAGATAAAGCAAAAAAATCCCAAAAAAGTCCTCAATCTATGTGTATATAATCCCAGAGTATCATGTTGCCCCAAATTAATCCCTTGACTATATAAAATTGATCTAAGATAGTCCCTAATGTCATAATTGTGATATAAATTTCATCTCAATTTTATCCCTTGACTTTACAAAATTGATTTCAATTTAGTTCCAAAGGGATCATTTTAGATCAATTTTATATAATTGATAAACTAAATTGTAGCAACGTTGTACTCTGGGACTAAAATGATCATTTATGAATAATTGATGAATTATTTTGAAATTTAACCCAAAGATAAAGTGATATCTAAATATAACATATTTAAGTATTTGACTTATTATATAAAAAATCGAGATATAGAAGATAATATAGTTTCTAGAATTAGAGATAGATGATTAAAATGAAAAATTCCTTGGAATATTATGTCATAAGAAGATATCATAGATACTATATATATCCTTAAGAGTAAATTTTATTAAGTTACAACCAAGTCGACAATACTATATGTATTTGAGTGTTAAGAAATAAATTTTTTGATGAAATTTAAGGGACGGTGTGTTTGGAATGGCTGTAAATTTATGAGAAGGTAATAGTAGAACTAATAGGGAAAAAGTAACTTTTTTTTAAAAGTTGTGAGTATTATATTTTCTTCTGAAAAGGTTGGTCAACAACTTTCTTATGGCTACTAAGCTAATCTAGGTGCTCCGAGCACAAATTTTTGAAAAGCAACAAGAAAACAACGGCTAACGGATATGTTGCAATAATCTGAAAAGTAAAGTAGTGAGAAACCTACTCCAAACAAACTCTAACTTGAGCGAGCTAAAAATGAGAATGCTAAGATGAATATATAAAAAAAAATAAATACTAGAAAGGATAAAAATAGGAATTGTTATATTAAAAGAACGGTTGGAGTGTCATCTATTAAAGATAAGTTGGTTATAAAAATATATACGTTGTTTAGGAATATAAAATGAATGGTAGAAAATACATCCATTAAAGAAATAGAAGAAGGGCCAGAACTAAGATAATATGAATTGAAGTTATTCAAAATGATTTATAAATAATGGGTTTAATAAATCATGCAAAACTCACTAAGAACAAATAAAAAAATGATATTCCTAGCCTCATTGTTTAAAATTGTGCAATATGAGGCTCGCCTTGAGGCCAGCCTCAACGCAATTCTAGTGACAAACGACACAAGGCTTACGACTCTAATTTTTTTATGAGGCTTGTGCCTCAGCTTGGTTGAGGCTCACCTTAAGGCGTGCCTCATCTCACCCAATTTATATATATTTTTTACTTAAAATTGACATAAATCCTACAGTAAAGCCCCGAACAAATCACAAATATAAGCACCCCTGAGTCACAACAACTTCCTCTCGACTACCTCAACCTCCAGCCCGTCGCCTTCGCCACAACCACCACCGTTGCAACCTCCATCAATGATCACTTGAAAGCAGCACACCACCACCACCTCTAAAAATTTTGGAGTATTAATCTTATTTTTATGTTGATGAAAAAACATTTATGAAGGAGGAAGATGGCTGAAATAAATGAAGAAGCATATTGGAAGAGATATTGAACTCCACAGGATGAGTCAGGTGAGAGACTAATTTGTTATAATGACGACTCAAATAAAGACCCTCTCAATCATGACAATACATATGATTTTTTAGTTGTTACTAACTATTTCAATCTTTTTTAGAAATTAAATATGGATGAGTACGGAACTGACAAAGAAAGAATTTGTAGTTGAACTTAATATTATATGATACTTTTATGCAATTTTTAAATTTAATATTTTTTTGCTCATGTAATATTTGAATTTCAATTATATTTCATACAATTTATCACTTGTCACTTTACGTCTTGTGCAATTTTTTGTTTCATATGTATATCAATTTGCTACTTCATAGTTCAATAAAAAGATAATATGCCATCTTTTAACATATTATTTAGGTATTATATTAAAAACCACTTTTAACATTTATTTGCACTTTATGCAATTTTTTGATTTTTTTGATTTTGAGGCTCACGCCTCAAAATACCTTGAGGCGTAAACCCTCACCTCACGAAAAAAATGTCTCAATGCCCAATTGCGCAATTTTAAACATTGCATAGTCCTAAATAGTTGAAATAAGGCAAATGATTAAGATGATGTGCTGCTCTACTCATCAATATGATAATAATAAGAAGTAATCATAGCAAGTGAATATAATGAGTCATATTATAATCACAACTAGGCCAATCATTAGTTTAATAGATATCATAATCAACTTCAAAATATATCAATGGTGATACACATGATCGTTAAAAATATTCCTATGACAGCAGAGTGACTCATGAAGCATACAAGCTTCATCATCATCAATATATCATCAAAGATTGTCCCATCCCTTCACATCCAAAACCACCTTTTCATGAGGATAAATCATACATAAACCAATTTCTTAAACACCAAAGTTTTACAACTATTAATTCATAATTTAATGCACGTGTCAACTTCATAAATTAAAAAACTTATGAAAATATCTTTTAGATCCATATAATAATTGGGTCATTGAAGATTGATTAATATTGCGACGGACACTAGAGAAGAGCTTGACAATGATGATAATCAACTATTAATAATAGATACTCTTGTTCAACCTGAACGTGAAGTACCTGAAACTATTGCAAATCCAAAATTTAAGATCATGTCTAACTCTATTTCTGAGAGCATGCTCAAGCCTATTGATGAGCCTAAAATTAAAATGCCTTGTCACTATTATTACTGAAAAGAAACTTAGATGATGCAATATTTTCATCTACATATTCGTGTATTCTTGCAAGATTATTTACCAAATACAGATGGCTCCACAACTTCAAAAATAGTTGATTGCTTCCTCAACAACAATATATGTCGAGTTTGTGTTACCACTACTACCACCATTTGACTATCGCATCCTCACATATAACATTAATTTAGCATTACAACAACAACAACATCATCAAGTCTTTATCCCACCATGTATAGTCAACTACATGAATCCTTTTTCTCCATCATGTCCTATTAAAAAGTCAAATTCTCATTTACATACAATAAAAAATGTCATTTCTTATATTTTCTAACCAAATCTTTTTAGGTCTACCTCTACCTCTCTTAACATAGGCCAAATCTAATACATCTACTCTCCTAACTGGGTCATCAGAAGGCCGACATTTGAAGAAAATTGTATAATGCACAGTGATGTGGTTCAAAGCCTCTAGATTTTAGATATTGATTTTAGAATACATATGCTAAATATTCAAGAGATGCTCATGACTAGTGTCACCACCACTTCCATGGAAATTAGACTTATAATAAAAGGCTTTTAGTTGAATCTTCATGAGAAGAGTTCTATTGATCTCACGAAAGTTGATGCAAGACAAAACATTGTCATAATATCATTTTGATATTTATTAGATTATTTCTATTATTTAATTTTAAGATTATCTTTTTAAATTGGATATGATTTTTAAGTACTTGTCAAGATTTAAATTTTAATAACTTTGGATTTATCATGTAACCTTATTTCTATAAATAAGGTTTTGAGGTCTTGCAATTTTTATAATCAATCATGAAATAAATTTGAATCAAGATTCCCCATTTTTTTCTTTCTCCACCAACAAATACCTTTTCCTGGTGGGAACATGATTCATAAGGCAGAAACACATATCCAAAGGCTACGTTCATGAGAATCCTTCTCTAGCATAATTTCCAAGCTCAAAGAAACTCAAGGAGAACACAAATGATTCAAAAGAAAAAAAACAAGAGAAAAAGGACTAGAAAATCAAGATGGGCACTATCATCACGGGCCATCATCAATTTACTTTAGTACAATCTTACCGACATCAATTTGGGGTTAGAGAGACCTTATTTGCATTAATTTCATCTCAAAACGATCCTCTTAACATCAACTTAGCATTAGATTAAACTTCTTTACATCAAACCTATACCTCCCTCGCTTGCTCTCTTCAATCTCTCTTTTATAGCTCCTCATCTCCTCTCTCTCTCCTCAAAAAAAAAGATCTTCTATCAACCATGATTGTAGTCAAACAACAGTAGAAAATGGCCTAGCAAATCTTGCACACCCCATGCCTTTTCTCATTCTCCCTTCCTCACAAGCCTTCCCCATCCCAATCTCTTCCTTTTCTCCCTCTTCATCTTTTCATTTTTGTTATTGCAAACAAATAGAGATAAGCAATGGCCTTAAAAGCCTTGCATACCCTCCTCTATCCATCCCTCTTCTTCCCTGATTGCAACCAAATAGGGATGAGAAACAACCATCCCTCCCTCTCAATACCTCTTCTTCCTCGATTGCAGCCAAATAGAGATGAGAAATGAGCTAGTGAGTCTTGCACACCCCACTTCTCAGCCCAAACTTTCCTCTATATTCCTACCACTTTTAAGTTCTCTAATCTTACACTACATGCCTTCACCGCACCTCCCCTTCCACAAACAAAAACTAGTTTCAAATATTTAGTTTGGACCTTTTAAGTCATAATTTGTAACAAAAAACTTGTTCCTTAAGTTCACTATAAGCAAAATTTAGCACTCCACAAATTGTTTACCCTGATGATGGATCATATACATAATCAGATTCTGATCCTCCAGTCACAGCTTCTGCAAATTGACAAGCAAAAGAGGGTTACCAACAAAAAAAAAACAACAAAATTGCATTTATGACCATTCATAAGAACACCAATAACTCTTCATCAGTAAAAATTCTATCTTTTCAAAGAAGGAAATTACGTGTAGAAGCAAAATTTTCTGATTCCTCCTGTCTCTCGGTTGCAGAATGAGTTGTTTGACCAGAAGTAAAGCCTAAAGTAGCTTCATCTGACTGCAGATTTTCATTACCATCATTGTCATCATCATCCCCAAACATGTCAAATTTATCTGCCTCCTTGCTAGCTTCAACATTGTCACATACCAACGTGTTAAAGTCATTGTTTACCACATTAGGACCTTATAAAAACATAACAAGAAGAGAAAAAACGATAATAACAGCAACTATTGTGCTGGTGGTAGAAATAGCTAAGGCAACCTATGGGAGTCCAAATCCATCTCTGATACGTATTAGGATCTAAAATGCCTAAAGATCGTAGCAATGAGTTTAAAATAGTCATACTTAGAAACCATTGAAAAAACAGTAATGGCAGAACAGAACCAAACCACAAGACACAAGAAATGATAGTGATGGTAAAAATAGTAGCCAGCAACCTATGGGAGGAGAAGTCCATATATGATACGTGTTGGGCTCTACAATCTCTAAAGATAGCAGTAAGCAATGTCAAAAAGTTCATAAGATAGTAAAATTAAAAACCATTTATTCAGAAAGATGCCTATAGATAGGAAAATTCAGAGATGCAATTAAGTACTCCCGGGAAGGAAACAATTACGAGACACGTTGAATTAGTATATCTGAATTATATGGTATATCAGTTCTCCTATTACATCTGTGCATGGAAGGTAGCAACAGCAAGAGTTAGAAAGTGTTAAAAAGAGTAGCATCAGTAACAGCAGTATTATAAGCAATGTTAACAACACCAATATTAACAGCAGCAGTAAAAAGGCTATCAAGTATTAGAACTGAAACAAACAAATGAATAAAACCAATAATATCCAACCACCCAAAAGGCATCAATGACCATAAAGAATGCAGTAAAGAATGCAGAAGTCAAAGATTTTATCATAGAAGTAAGCTACCTAATGCCATTAGTAGCAGTTAAGTTATTTAAGCAGTAGATTATGCACACAAAACACTAAATGACGAAATAAAAAATCAACAATTCAAAAACAAAGGAAATATTGGTATTAGTGTATAGAAATGCTAGTAGATAGTATAGAACTAATAAGAATAATTATAACATAGTACATATCTGACATTCCTTATTTGGACCTGATATATTGGACATATCAGGACAAAAAAATATTAGAATTGTTTATGAAATAAAGATGTAATCAAGTGCTCTAGAGGACCCTTTCAAAAAAGACCTATCAATTATTAAAGATTCTTAATTTGATATTTTAATTACACTTACATTGTTGTGACCCGTGGATTCATGCCGAGGAGGAAAATTAGGATTGGTTGCTAGAAAAGGAAATTAAGAACCACTTACTATTTCAAAGACTTAAATTCATAAATCAGCCCATAGTGAGATTAAATAGGATCATACCGAGAAAGTTAAACTGCATGAATATTTCAATGAATTTGTTGATGAAGATTGAAACGGAAAAAACTCAGGAAGTTAAAATTCCATCTATTTAGCCAAACTTAAAGTGCACAATTTACAAACAAAACTTTAAGCCATTTGGGCTAGCTTTCCTTAAAGAGATTTTCCATCCAAGCTTGCATGTCATATTTTCATGATTTGAATAATTTCGATTTTCTTTATCAGATCATCTTTTTAGAATTAATTATTAGTCATTGTTAATATCCCTTTTTATGCATGTTAACATTTTTTTATTGCTTGTTTCATACTATTGGCATGATTTATCTTATTTTCAGGAAGAAAGAAAAAATAGATTGTCGATGATATTAATTATCAGTTTATTGCCAACATGAACAGGGGAGATGTGAAACTCAGTCAAAGTGATAAGCATGGTTTAAAATTGCGCAATATGAGGCTCGCCTTGAGGCCTGCCTTTGCGCAATTCCAGTAAAAAACGCCTCGATGATTACGCCTCGAGTTTTTTTTTATGAGGCTTGGGTTTGCGCCTCAACTTGGTTGCGGCCCGCCTTGAGGCTCGTCTCGCCTCACTGGCATGAGGCTTACGCCTCACGCTATATATATTAAAACTTACATAAATCTTGAAGTAAATGCCCGACATTGGACTCTATAGGAGAGGAGGAAGGGGAGAGAGCAGTTCACCATAATGATGATTCAAATGAAGAACCCCTTAGTGATGACAATGCTGATGACTTATGAGTTCTTATGTGACATGTCATTGCTATTTTTTTTTGGAAATTGGAATTATATGTTAATGAAAAGAATACTGGGATTTGGGAAAGATAGAATTTTGAGTTGAACTATATTTCATGTTGTCTTATTATTGAGATATTTTGATTTCACTTCATATCTTATGATTTTTTATGTTTTATATTATTCACTCGTTAGTATATAAAATTTTTTCATTTTATGTTTATGCAATTTTGTGATTTTGAGGCTTACGCCTCGCCTCACGAATGAAAAAAGCCTCAATAACCGAATACGCAATTTTAAACATTGGTGATAAGCATGATGATGATGTTGTTGTTGTTGTTGTGGTGATAAGCCACCAATGCCTTGCATTCTTCATTATTTTCATCTCTTCTATATGAATTCACATTCAACAATTATCGAAGTAATTCTATACCACTTGTTTAGAAGCGCTATCTTACATGTAGAGATTATGTTCACTATAGTGGTGGATATCATGAGTATCTCAGGCCTCAATGTGACAAATCCAATAATGATTTTTTTCATTACTTTGCCGTAAATATAACAATTATGCCTAGATTAGCATTAAAAAGATCAAATTCTTAATTCTTGAAACCAAATTTTTCCAAGCCAAATAAAATGATGGAAATCTTAAATTCAAAGATCATCAATCTAAGAGTGTGAGCCATTATTATTTTGAACTTTGAGTTGCATTAGTTTTTTTTTTTAGTTCTGGTGAAGATAAACCTGTGATGACGGTGCCAACAAAAATGGAACTTGATCTCTGATACTTTTTTTAGAGTTTCATGGTCAATTTCTATTTATTGATTAAATTGCAAGATGCTTTTTAATCAGCTATCATTGGATTTCCAAATTCAGTTGTCTTTTTATTGCTAGTTCAGTAATGTGGTTCTCTCTAGTTCTGCATCACAACTCAATTTGTTACCGATTTGGTATTTTCCACGGACTCCAATAAAGGTGTTCTTTTATGGATATAGTGAATCGAAAGTTGCTTTACTAAGTTTCCTAACATGTTCATGTATCTTGCCAGTGTAGGGATATCCCTACATTCAATTTTCACACAGTAGCTAATATCAAAAGTTGCTTGCTCTAGGGCATAGCACCTAGAATTAGGAAGCAGTTTAGTTGAAATTAAGATTGAAAACTTATTGTTATTGTTGGAATCCAAAATTAATAAGGTTTGAGACTTGCAATTTTAGGTTAGATTATGAAGATTTTGAGGGAAAAAAAAAATATTTCTTATCTTTATTTTAGGAGTTATTTGGTCGGCTGCATTAGTAGGGTCTTGCATTCAACTTTCTTGCATTTCATTATTCCTATTTGGTATATGAGGCAAAGATGCTAGTCCATTAAATTAGAATTAGGGTAGGAACTTGAAATATATATATATTCTTATAGACAAATTAATAGATATTATGATTCACAAGAAAATAAATATTTTATGTATTAAAAAACACTAAATGGGTTGAGGAAAAGACTAAGGAGATTGATAATTTCGTATTTAAACTATGATATTCAAGTAGGCGTCGTATTAGAAATGGTATGTGTGATTATAAATAAGAGTTTAAAGAATAATGTCATTAAAACTAATAGAATTTGAGATATAATTATAATTTTAAAGATTATTGTTGATGCAAAGATTATTAATATTATAAATGCTTATGCTCCTCAACTAGATTTGAATGTGTATTCAAAATAAAATTTTAAAATGAATTAGAAAAATTAATACAAAAGATACCTTTTAAAGAATTTTTATGGGAGTATATTTAAATGAACATGTTGGTAAAATGGTAGAAGACTTTACAAGTATTAATGATAGCTATAGCTACTGAGCAACTAATGAAGAAGGTACAACTATACTAGATTTTACTCTAGCTTATGATTTTGTAATTGCTAATACTTTATTTAAGAAAATAGAAGAGCACCTCATCACTTATAAGAGTGGATATAGTAAAACTTTGATTATTTTCTTAAAAAAGATATCGCTTAAATTGCAAAGATTGTAAACTCATTTCGAATGAAAATTTATGTACAAAGCATCGCTTATTAATTTTAGACTTTAAGATGAAGGGATGAAATATTAAAACTAAAGTAAAATATTATCCTAGGATTAAATGGACATTTAAAGGACACTAATAAAAATATCTTTAAGAGTAAGATTCAAGATCTTAAAATTTAAGTTGTTCATATGGAAGCGAATATTATTTGTGATAAAAATAGCTAGTGATATTAAAAATATTGCAAAGTATGTGCTTGAAGTAAAAGGGAAAATTTCTAATAGTAAAATAGTTGGTGATAGAATCAAAATGTTCAAGAAAAGATAAATAAATAAAAAACTTTGTTATAAAAATTAGTTTAAATATAAAAGCTCAAAAAATTGGAAAATATATAGGACCTCTAGGGAATCTAAGAAAGCAATATGTGATGCTAAGAATGCAGCTTTTAGTGATTTATACAATAGAATAGGAACTAAAGAGTGTGCAAGCTATATATATAAGTTAGACATGCGAAAAGATAGGAGATATAAAATATTAGTTCAAGTAAAATACATTAAGGATAAAGATCAAAAAATATTTTTCATAGAAGAGGATATTCAACATAGGTTGATGAGATTTTTTGATAAATTTTCAATAAACGTTGTGAGAATATGATTGACTTTATTGACCTTAGCACCCTAAAAGAAAATAGAGATCTTTATTTTTGTCGTCGTAATAATAAAATCGAAATTAGAAAGGTTTAAAGAAAATGAAGTGTGAAAAAGTAGTAAAACCTAATGATATTCCAATAAAATTGTGAAAATGCTTAAGAGATCGAAGAATTTCTTAACAGACTAAACTTTTTAATATTATTTTGAAAACAAAAAAAATTGTTAGATGAGTGGAAAAGAAGTGTGTTAGTTCTTTTTTTTTAAATAAAGGTGATGTACAAAATATTACAAATTATAAAGGAATTAAATTAATTGGTTATACATTAAAATCATGGGAGATAGTAACTGAGCACAGGTTACGACATAATACTAATGTTTCTCTAAATCAATTTGAATTTATGCTGGGTCGGTCTACTAGTGGAGATAGACCTAAAAAAACTTAGAAAGTATTAGAAATGACATTTTTATTAGATTTAAATGATAATTTGACTATTAATAGACATAATGAAAAAAAAATGATTCATGTAGCTAACCCCACATAATGGTATAAGGCTGGTTGTTGTTGTGTTTGGTATGAAGCAAAAAAGAAATGTAAAATAAAATTTTGAGGGAATTGAAATACCACAAAGCTTTTATTTTTCTAACAACCACTGCTCATTGTCGTTGCTCTTTGTTGCCACTCTCATTTCAATGCATTTTAAATATATCATAACTTACAAAAAAAATATTTCAATGCATTTGATTTGCATCCTGCCAAATAACTCCTACATTCATAAAATGCAAGCATTTTGATTAATCTAAATTTGTAAAATGAATGCATTTTGAAAAACAACTAACCAATCATCCCCTTATTATAAATAGGTCACCTTAGAAACATAAAATTAAATTATTGCATATAAAATGTCAATTTCCTACCGCACTTGTGAGTGTGCTATAGTATGCGGATTCTTTGAGCATTTTACAAGCCTTGAAGTCAACATTTGAGGGAAAGCTTTCTCCTTGTATCAACATGAGGCCTGAATCTTCAAATTATAAACTTCTATCCTTACTTTTTCATCTAAATTATTTTATAATAGATTTATGTGAGTGATTGAGATTAAATTAAGTAGTTTACATGTTGCTTTCTATTTTTTCTATGTGGATCTTCTTTATGGAATTTTTATTTGTTCTCAGATTTTTTTGGAATTTCAAATTATGTTTACTTTTATATTACATTTGGAACAAATTCAATATGTTCTCTAATTTTGCATTTAAAAAAAAACCTTTGCCTCAACTAAAATTAAGTAAAATTATCATTTATGATCTTTTGTGTGCTTCTTTGTCGTCTAATCCTACATTTGCATTGGTGAAACCTATACCGGTATACCCTAAGACATACCGCATTACAGAGCATCTTAGAATTGGTCAATTTCTCACGTGAAAAGCAAGCAATCATCAATCATCAGCAGAAAGTATGAATTCTTTTACCTGCTTTAGATAAATATTTTCCTTCTAGGACTCATGAAAGATGAAAAAGGAGATTAAAAAGTAGAGTGGCAAGGAACAGCATTGAACATTGATCATGACAACGATGATGATGAAACAGTATTGATGGCCAAAGACATTCCTCCAAGAATTAAAACAGAAAGAAAAAAAAGCAGACAAACTGACCTATTTCACGTTCAAAGGTCTCCCTCTCTTGATGGTAAACATCTAAAAAAAGAAAAAACAAGTCAATGCTTGAAAGCCAATGGCATTGGTGCAAGTACATTGGTGATCAAGTACAGAATATTCTGGAAACAAACAGAAACTATAATAATAATAAATTGATGCACACCATTCAACAACTTATCAGACCCTCTGCAATAGAAATAAACCAGGTGGTTCTATATAAGTAAAATGTAAATAATCAGAGATTGGATAATGAAATGGGAACACCATTAGATTTCTTGGAAAAAAGATTGATACAAAAAATATCATAGACGAATTTCATTTGACAGAGAACTAAAGCCTCAATGTAGAAACACTCGTATCCATAATTCCAACATGAACGGATCCAAAAAGAAAATTAATAAACAGAACACAATATTAATTTTTCTAAAATTTTAAGGTTTTATTATAGGGAACCCTGAAATATTGTCTGCCAAACTTTTATGTCTTAGTCATCACAACGAACAGGATATAAAATCTATATTGCATGTAGATTACATGAAGCATACTTAACTGTACTCGCCATTCTCCATGAGCTTCATAGCAGCCTCAGTAAGTTGATCAAACATGAGCTTGGTACTCTCAGACATCTTTGCTCGCTTATCACTTGAAGAACCTTTTAAGCGTTTTAATGCATGTATAATCTGCAAGAAAAATTCAGAAACCTCCATAAGACCACCAAAACAAAGTTTTATACCATTCTTATCGAGTAAAAGCCCAAAATAGTTCCACGAATATTAGTAAATGTCCAATTTAATCCCAGACTTTTATGATGACCCAATTTAGTCCCACTAGTATTAAAAAATGTTCCAATTTAATCCCAAAGCTAAAAGTAACAATTAAAATCAATCCCAATAGTTAAATGTGAGGGTATTTTAAGTATTATGGTATATATGAGATTATATTTTTTGTTAGTTATCATATTAAAATAAATACAAAAGTCATAATGAAAGTTAACCAATTAAATAACATGAGTGAATAATTAATAAATATAGTTAACTTTAACTGTTACTTTTGGTCTTAACCAAATTGAGACAATTTTTAATAGTCGGAGGACTAAATTAAGGTTTTATGAAAGTCTGAAACTAAATAGGGCATTTACTAATAGTCGGGAAATTATTTTGGGCTTTTACTCAATTCTTATCAAATTAATAGAATAAAAATAAGTTGACATCACATAAATCGATAAAACAAAACATAATAAATGAGCAAGATTAACTAGACCTATTCCTTAATTTATTATTTATGATTATTTATGATGCACAAACACGGACGAGGCAACACAGATACAGCGACACGAACATGTCAATTATTAAAAATATAGGACACGGACACGTTATTATAAGTTTTATATCTTAAAAAATAGTGCATATAAATTGAGTATGTTGAATATTAAGAATAATTGAGAAATAATAAATCATTTAAATAGGATTTGTATTTAAAATGATCAATATTAGAATGTCGAGAGTTGGGTGTTGATGCTATGTTTCAAGCATCGAGAGGGGAAATGACAATGCTGAAAAAAAGTCGGGTATTGAGCGTCGTCGATGTCAAGACAGTGTAAGTCGTCTATGTTGAGATGATCTTGATCAAAGATAAGATGTCGAGGCGACGCAGGGCGTGATTGTGGAGGTAAAAATTGCTAGCATCAAACTTTGATTTTCAGAGGGTTTTGAAACATTGGTATTGTGACGGTGTCAGGCATCAATGTTGTGAAACCCTAGCTGCGATTTGCTTAATAGAAATGAAAATGGTATGTTCGAGGAATAGGATATTGAGTGTGAGCTATTGATTTGGGGTCGTTAAGAGGAAATAAAAATTTATTTTTTATTTTTTAATAAATAATTTGAAATATAAAAATTTATTTTAAAAATTTTCATAAAATATTATAAGACACGAATGCCAATTTATTTTTTTAATCGGACACGTCTTCAATGTGCATGATACATACCGAAAGCATGTCAGATGCGTGTCGCGTCCGATATGTGTCAGACTCTACATATCTCATTGAATAGAAGTGTCAGTGCAACATAGATGATTATCATTCAATATTATTAGAAGATAAGGTGATGTCTAAATATAATAGATTAAGTATCTTGAGTCTATCATTTAAAAGAATGAAAACCACTTGAGGATATAACATCTAGAGTTACGGATTGATGGTTAAAATTGAGAACTGCCTCGTGCCATAGGTGAAGGTAAATCTTTGATTAGAGGCTTGGCTTTCAAAATTGAGAGGTGAGAAATCTTAACTGGTGGATCAAAATTCAGATTATAGCAAGGCAAGCAATACAAGCTAGTTAAGTTCGAATTATCTAGCCAGTCATCCAAGGGTTGGCTATAGTTTAAATTTTGTTTTGGATAAATTTGTAGTTTGAATTTTAAATTAAATGTAGAGTTATTAAAATTATGGAGTTTACTAGGGGATTAGTTTCCTTGGATTGTGGAGTCAAATTAGGGAGAATAAAATCTTATTTTAAATTACTTCCAATTGCAATTTTGCCTATAAACAAGCTTAGAAATCTTTCAATAAAACTCAATCAAGTTCTCCCAATTTTATTAGCCTCTCCTCTCTGGTTGTTGATTGGTTGAAATTAATTACCTTGAAACTTATTGACTCTTTTTTAGCCTGTAGAGGATAGAGATCATGATTTGTGTGTCAACTAACTTTATTTGGATATTAATTTCATTATAGCTGTTGTCTGACTCTACCCCCATTTGTAGAGCACTGGGTCTAAAAAAATTACACTGATTGCCTATTTGCAAGTAAAATTGCCCTGAAGGACCGCATTTTGCAAATGAATTATCTTTATAAGAGGCATTGAAGACAGCATGCTATCTTTGATGTCTGTCGATTTCTCCGGTGTTGTCGCATTTGCTATATGAATAGTTATGAAGGCCAACAAATAATTTTTTTTCATACATGTGCACATGCGAGTAGGACATAACTTCGTCAAGCAAAATGAAAAATGAACATGTAATAGTTCAGGTTCATAGCATATGCAGACTCCAATTAACAGAACTTACAGTTTCTCCAGGTTGAAGAATGTCCGTGATCCTCCTCTTCAGTGTCCTTATCTCCTCTAAGGAAAGGTCTTCATATTCTCCCTCTGGAATTTGCCTAGCTGGTATCTTTTCTGCAATCCTCAAGTCAGCGGAAATACTATCCAACCAAGCATCCTGAATCAATCATTAGGAACACATCAACCAAACATTTCCTAATTTGGAAGGATGGGTGAAAACAAATTTGAAGAGAGAATAACCTTTATTTCCTGCTCACGTCTATACTCAACATAGTTTCCATTGTCATCAAAATATCCCTCCTCTCTCTCTTGCTGCAAATTAAATGGTTCTATTTCAACCCCATCGGCCTCAAAGTTAGAATCATCCTGCCAAAACATGCTCATTTTCCTTTATGCAGTAATTGGATCTGAAAGCTCATTCTTATTTGCTGATAACAAAAACAAACGATCAAATATATTCTTAATCAGTGAAAACATTTGAGGAAAAAACAAAAAAACCTGAAGTTATATTGTATGCAGCCAGAATTTTCAATAAAATTATCATAATATATTTTCAAAATTCTGGATGGTTTTAAAAACAAATTAACAGGAACATAAATTCTATCAGAATTTACACGGAAAAGAATGCAAGCATTTCTAACACGCCTTCACTTTTGAAGCTGTTGTTGGGAACATGTCAACAAATATTCAGATTTTTTTTCTACTTCAAACCCTACTTTGATGAAACAAAAGGAGAGAGAGAGAGAGAGAGAGAGAGAGAGAGAGAGAGAGAGAGAGAGAGAGAAATTAAGGGGCTGCTTGGTTGCCTGAAAAAAAAATGCAGTGCAAAAAAAAATACTTTGGAGTTTTTTTTATGAGTGTAAAAGGAGAGTATGAGATTACTTTTTTGAGAAAAGGATCAAAATGGTCCCTCAACTCTATGTGAGGGATCAAAATGTCACCAACTTTTTTGAGGGACCAATCCCCAAATGGGACCTTTTTTGTCCTGTTATATAATGGTAAAGTTGATGGTGTTAAGTATGAGGATAATTTAGTTATTTCTAATTAAAATATTTAATAAATGAGATTGAGATTGAATAGGCATTTAATAAATTGGACCTTTTGAGTAGGTAATTTAGTTATTTCTAAACCTTTTTGCTTATCTGAAATGAAGGTATAGTGTTATTGATTCTACAAAATATGTAGATCTTTGCCTAAAAAACTCTGAAACTATTTCCAACTGCATCTATTTTCTGTCTCAACTACTACCCATGCAATATGAAATATGCTATTATTAGCATCAAGCCCTACAGCCGTTAACACTTGACCACCTTGTTGCCCTTTCAGATAACATCAATCAACACCAACAATTGACTTATATCCCGATAGAAAGTCTTTCTTGCATGCTCAAAGCAAATATAAAGTCGCATAAATCTTTTTCTTCCACACAAATTTTGGTCTTTAGTAGTAAGCATAGAAATTGTAGATTCTGGATTACTCTTTGATACTTCAAGACAATGGTCACAATTTTTATTAAACTGATCTTTCTCCTTCATGTAAATGAATTGATGTGCCTTCCTAAATGTCTTCTTGAGTTGAGGTTTTGATACATGCAATTTCAAGTCTATTGACTAATATTAAACAAAAAAGGGGAAGAACTTCAGGAAATGAGACTTAGGGTCCGTTTGGAACGGCTGCAGCTGTCGATAAAGCAGGTTGTGAAGTTGTTGTACAGAAAGCTGCTTTCTGAAGTTGCTGTATAAAAAATAGTATATTTTGTTTGGGAAGTTTAATTGTTTACCCGCTGTGCTGCAGCTTTATAAGCATAAATTACTTTGATATCCTTGTATATATTTAGATGAGAATAAAATTCTTTAAAAAACTTAATGATTTGAATATTAAGAGTCAAATTCTCATTCTAATCTAATAACTATTTTTTATTTCTAAATATTTATTTTTAGTTCTAAGAACTAAATGATCGTGGCCTTCTCAAGGACTATCCTGGATCAAATTCTCATTGGCCTTCCCAGCCAACAGCCACTCTTCAAGCTCCGGCCTCCCGCATGGTGATAATGGTGGACGTTCTCTCCAAGGGCAGGGAATCATGCTATAAGGTATCAGTTCCCAGCATGATTTCTCGAATTTCGATAGTTAGGCTCGGGACGCCTTCTATTCTTGCTTGGAGAAGGAGGCGGATAAGAAGCCAACGGAGGTGGCGACCGTCGGCCTTCTATTCCCGGCCGAATGCAAGAGTTCCAGAGACGAATTCGGCAAGAGTTGTCGCACCACTTGGGCATCGTTGTTACCAGCCTTTCTGCTTCTTGAAACAAGAAAATTTCCCCAATTTCTGATGCATTTAAACAGGTGAAGCACTTTGATCGCCAGTATTGCGCTAAGAAAAGAGTGAAGAGGCTTCTCGACAATGACGAATACCGTGGAGATGAGCGCGTGTGTATCGCGAAAATGATCGCACTCTCGCATGAAGTTGGCATTTACGTAATTTTCTACCTTCGATACCGCGGAAAGCAGCGGACCGTGGGAGGTAGGGTATGGTCGCGCAAAGCAGCGTGGGGAAGCAGAAATTTTTGTAACCGCTTCTGACGTGATTAGCCCAAACGAGCATTACAATGCTTTTTATATAGCACAGCAGTAGCAACGCCGTCCCAAACACACCCTTAAATGAACAGAGTCGATGCTTCATGAAACAATGCATCCATTCGTTATAATACAGTTATGCGATCAAACTAACTGAACAAAAAAAAATCGAAGAGGTGCATCTCTCCAATCTGGCCCCACCACATGCAGTTGACGCTCAAATGAGGCAAACACTTCACTCTCGCAAGTCCCCTTCAATTGCCTTACCTGTGCATCTTTATCTCATATATGATTATTAATATTTAAGAAGTTAGTTGATGACATACGAAAAAAAAAACTATGACAAGTTTTAGAAAACCAAAAAATTATTTATATTTTGCATTTGCATGATTGCGTTTCATTCAATAAAAAAATAAGAGAACAAAAAAATTAAATATATATATAGGTGACCTGTATAATTACAAACCTGAAAGTACTTTATCAAAAATGTCTACAATGCCTAATGAAAACTTAGGATGTAAGTGGCCCTTGTGCTTCTCTCCTCGCCTAAAAATTTATTTTGGACAAGCATAAATTAATTGCACTAGTATATTTTTATCTTGTTTCTTTTTTTCATTCTTCACCAAAAAAAGGTTCTTTTCAAAAGGACCATTGCAACTGCATTCTCATTGATTTTAGCTCAGCATCATACATCCTAATTCTTGTATATTAGCTCAATATAAAAGGTGAAATAGGTTGCCAAATGGTATAAAAGTAAGGAATGAGGACCAAGGATATGAAAATTTTGGGGGGAAAAAAAGGATGATGATTGATTAAAAAAATCAAGAAAACATGTTACAAAAAAATTCATGTGCAATATTACAATCAATGAACTAAACTCCGTTGCACGATTGGTGCAATCAACTCTCTCACCAAGCATGGATTACATCTCTAATTATAATAATTTTAGAAACAATGAAACTTTTCATGTATTAACAAATATGTAAGGAAAAAGATATACATGAAAATCTTTAATAGGAATAACACATTAAATTTTGTATCGAGCTAAACATTAATAAAAGTCAACCTAAAACACGAACCCCATCCTCATCATTTCCATATTATCTGGGATATTAACAGATCATTGTGTGTAACCACCCGTATCTAATCCCTTAAAATTAGCTAGATATAAAGATAAAATTTTGTGTATTCTCCTTCCTTTAGCACTGCGCATTATTTTAGGCAAACCATGAATTGATGATATGAATGTGATAGGAAACACTTGAAGATTTCAAGTAAATCTATACTACTATTAAAATGTCGCTTGTGAATATCCCCGCATAAGATCTTGATCGTAGCTTACAAACCGCTGAATAAATCTTATCCCTTCATTATTTTTATGTTGACTATTGGCATTTCGTCGCGTCTATTCCAAAACGAAAATTTTGCTCGCTTAGGTAATGGAAACTCTCCCGCTACTCTCACTCTCCCGCGTTTCTCCCTCTCGTTCGCACACCCTAGACGGAACAAAGGCCTCTGCCTCCCCCTTTCTTGCGCAACCCGAAGCCCATCGCCGCTCGTCTTTGACCTACTGCCCTAGGCGCACGATCACTGTCGCCGGCCCTCTCTCACGCACAGGTAACTTCTACCCCATTTCTTCTTCTTCCCTTATTCCTTTTCTTCCTTCTTCTTTCCTTCCTCATACTCCTCTCCATTTCTTCTTCATCCTTTTCCCCTCTGTTTTTCCCTTTCTTCGCTTCTTCTCTACATCGTTTTGCCTAAAATTTCCTCCTTCGCCTTTGTAAATGAAGAGCTCTACTAAACTGTAATGATCATTTATAGTTCGGAATTTCTAGGACTTAATTTTGTATATTTGTATTGTTTGGTCAGATTTCTTCACTTTCTAAGCATTGGTCAGTTGTGATTTCAATTGAAATATGATGATATGCTTCTACGATATTGTGATTTTGGCAAAGCTCAAGTGATTCATTTTTTTTCCTTATTTCCTGATTCCTTTCATTCTGATAATGCTTTTTTTTTCAATTTTTTTAGGTTTTTAGAGAAGTCATAAAGTAATTGCTACAGTGGGAGGAAATGCTAAATCGCTCACAATGATGGGAGGCTTTCTCACCAGAGTTTCTGTGTAAGTGATTTTGAGTTGAATGGTTTATGATGAGGTTGTTGTAGCCTGCTGTAACTTCTGTTTGACATATCACCATTGTTTATTTTACTCATACAACATGTTTTTGTGCCAATTTTGGTTGGTGTTTGTGCTTTGTATTCTTTCTCTCACTTGATGTGTCTACAAACACAAAGTACATTAAAATTTTATCTTTTTCTTGGTTCTCAGGGTTTTATTTGTTGTACTGACAGTTTATAAGAGAGTTGGAGATGCCCTCATTTCACTGTAATAAGCATATCCATTTTAGTCAGTTATTTATTGTATGATGAATAGCTGGCATAGGAAAATGGAAAACAAATTTGGGTTACAATATTATGATAAAAAAAAATTATTGTGTTCAAATGAAAATATTATTTTTTCTAGCCAGTATAAGATTCTTTTTGATAAAATTTTGATTAGGATATTGCGTTCTTAATTTATTTTCTTAAAGAAATCCTTAATTATATTTATTAAATTATAATAAAAAATTACTTCTCTATAATGCTAAACTATGTTTTTTTACTCCTCAGATAAGCATATGTAGGAGTATAGTTATGCTGAGCAGAGTTTAAGCAAGTTTAGTTGACTAATTGGAATTCACCATTCTTGATGAGGTTGTACTTGAAAGCAATTTGATTCAAGCCCATGTTTTCAAGTTGTCTCAATAGATCAACTGAAGCTCAAAATTCATTTTGATTTAACTTCTTACTGATCTGTTTTAACAATTTTGGATTATTTTATATGCGTATTCTTTTTTACTATATGTTGCCTATGCATGACAAATTTAAATTGGCTTTCTTCGTATATATTTGGCATCCTAAATCAAATGTGAGTTTCATATTTCTATGGTGGAATTACATTATTGCTCACTTTTACTATTTATTTTATATACTACATACTTGAATGTTGTAAATAATTTACATATTATATTATTGTAATTCATTTTAGCCTTTAGGGGATGACATACATTTACAATACCTTCTTTTGATCTTATATGTCTAGATATGAAATTAATTTTGATCGTACTCTACTGGACTCAGAGAACTAGAGCTACTGATTTAGCTGCTCATTAATGGCAAAATATTTTCATTAATGGATGGTCATGATTTTTTACGATTTTGTAGTATGTGGCCTTGCAAACATCAACTATGGTACACCCTGCTAAGGTATCAATTAGACATAAGTAGATTTTGTTGGATATTTCAATCTAAAATCATTGTTGTTGAGGAAATAATTTAGTTATGTGGCTATTTGTGTATGCTTTTGTCCTTCATATTATTCTACTCAAGTTTAAATTCAGCATGTGTTCAATAGCTCGTTTGATGTTTGACTTCAGGCTAAAACTCATCTTAGTGACATATGAAATTTGGTACTAACTAGCAGAAATGTATAACAAAAATTTTAGTGGGGGATTTATATACCACAAAATTCTTTATATTTATACTAATATATAAAAGCTGCTTGTGATTCTGCCCTAGGGTTGCAAGCGAACCAAACGTTTGATGAGCTACTCATTGCTCGGTTCAATTAAGGCTCGTTTGTGATCGTTTAACTAACAAAACAACAACCTTGAATACTCGATCCTTAAATAAACAAGCTTGAACACTATTATGTTTGGTTCATTTATGTTCACGAACAACATCATTTGAAGCTCGTGAACATGCTCGACATTAAGCTCGATAAGAAGCTCAGTTCGTGTTCAATTCAGAACTCGTGAATAAGCTCGATAAAAACTCAATTAATATTTAAGTATAAAAATTATAAATATACATAATATAAATATTTTAAATTATTATAACATAATGATATAATTATTTTAATTCTTATTTTTCTCCTCTTGTTGTATCAAAATTCGCTAAGCCTTCGCATGAATAAGAATTTTGAATGTCAAATCAAAAGGGCAAACAATTTTGTATTCAGTGGTAAGATTTATGAAGTTAATAATGATGATTTTCTTAATTATCTTTGAGGGGTCTTGACCTTTTAGACTTGTAAGATGACTCATTAAATAGTATTTGATCGAACTTCAGTTGTAGTTTATTCTTCTAAATTCTTTCTTGATGTTGTACTAAAAAAACAAACCATAATTTTTGCATTTTTTTAAATTTAATGCGTTTTGAAGGGGCTGAAGAAACTATGGAAGAATTTGATGTTCCATGGCATAAGGGATATTTCTCTCCATCTAATTCATTATTTATATTTTTATATTCCATAATTTAATTTATATTACGAGAAGCAATGTCAAGAGGAGATATTTGAGTTTATCTTGAGAATCTTCTCATCAGTGACGATGTTCAATATTTTATAGAAGAGCATCAGGTCAACCTGTTATAACAGCTTCAAATCAGCATTGGTACTTTTGCAGCTAAATCATCTAGAGTTACTTTTACCATGAGAGCTGCAAGAGATCCGATAATATTTTTCTCTCCAAATCTCCTAAATTTCCTTAATGTTTCTTCTTACGGGCATTTACTCGGCTCCAAGGTTTATTTCTTTAATTATTTCGGTATTTTCAATTTCTAAAATGTCTCATCACTTGGTCTTCTAGACTTATAACATTTTTTACTCTTTTGAAGATGAAATCAACCATCCGAAACATCTCAACAAACGACTGTTCAGCCAAAATTGTAAATCTTAACCATCACATTTTCTCTATTTTATATTATTGATAAAATTATTCTCACATATTTTTCCTTTAGATCTTTCATATTTTGCATTTTGTTTCTAGATCTCTACTCTTTTTGGCTTTAAAGGATCTATATTATTTTGGATTCAAAGTTAATACTACTTCATTTGTGACTGAAATTTACTTTTGAGGTAATATTGCTTTTGTGTTATGCAATAAAATTACTCTGTTTTCTTCTAAACATTTTTTGCTTGTTTGGAATGTCATATCTATACTATTATATAAAAGTAGTTTGGGATTCCAACCATAGCAAATATTGATCGTTCATCTATAAATTTTAAATTAATCTACACCGTTTATATATAACTCTTCAAATTTCATCATTTATCACTTCTTATAAAATATTTATTTATTCACTTATTTACTGCCATTATTATTCATTATTGTTTTCATTCACTTAGACCTCTTCATATTCTTAATTTATTTCATTGCTGTGCTTTTAATTTCACATCCAAATATTTATAAAAAAATCGAGTGTTTCTATATCACAGCAGGCTGTTCCGCTTCAAATTCTCGTACGGTTACAAAAACAACCAAACATAAATTTTCAATAACCTAAACACTCCGTTCAATCTGTTGCTATAATTATAATTAATTAATAATTAATAATTATAACTTTTTTTTTTGTTTTGTATTGTATACGCGACCCAAATCACCCTTCGCTTGACATTCGCTTCGTATTCCACGGTTAAATGATAGTGAAGAGCCAATTAAGTTCTCTAACTATTCGTCTTATCCTCGCTTCGTATTCCAATTTTATTAGAAGCTCTTGTATTTTTAAGCTGGCCCCTTCATCCAAGCAATTTCGCCCCTTTTTCCCGTCACGACCACGGACAGACAACCCTCCTGCTTACCTCTTACTTCATGTCTACCCCCTCCAAAGTCGCTGCCGCAAACATTGCTACTTCCTCCGAGGTCTCTCCGCCTCCTCCTTTCTTATTGTTGGTGGTTTCTCCATCCTCCTCGCCTCCACCATCCCCCTCCTCTGGCCATCCAACCCCGATCTCAGCGTCGTCTGCCTCTGGCTCCGTCTATACTAATTTAGAGTTACGCCTTTTCCCTCCGTCTCGATTCACATTGCAATGGGATTGGAAATCAAGATTCGCAATCCTCATTTTTTTGTGATTGACTATAGCTCGACTGTCTCCTCCATCTTCTATCGCAGGGAGCTGCTTGGATCTGTGACCTCTGCTGGTGGACGTGTCGAAACATGAAAGGTGTCTTATGTTGATGCAGATCTTCATCTTGATGGGTTAGGGTTCTGGAAAATGTGATTTATTTGATCGGTGACATGGCTAAGGGGTCTGTCGAAATTGATACTGTCACCAAGGCCCAAGTATGGCTTCAACTCTTCTTCTTTGACCTTCCTATTAAGGGGAAAATTTAATGTATAGCTCGTGTAAATCCAAATGATCAAACTATCATTTATCAAGATTGTTATCCCGTGTGATGCAATGATGTTTAAGGTGGAGGTTCTCGGTTGATAATGGTAAATCGGATTTCATTTTGGTAACTTTTAATTTGTGATGCTGCTACTCATATTGCCCTTTTGTAATATTATTTGACATCAATAATGATTGTTTTTTAACATTCACTGCAAATAAAGCTATTGTAATTAGTCTAATGTGGTGGTTTGTGCAGCTTATATTGTAGTCAAGTTTATTATCTTTTTTTTATTGTAATTACTATCAATATCATGCTTGTGCAAAATTGTTTATATTTATGTTGGGTGAGATCGGTCACTGATTGTATTTTTGTACTATTTCAGCTTATGTTGATCAAATGACTGAAACAGAGTATTTTACTCGATATGCTGAATGAAATTGTATTTTGGAGTTTATTTTCTCTGATACAACAAATGTATTTATTAGATTTACCTGAAAGCCTTACTGTCATTCTAACTTGATGTTTTACAGATAGGCTGTGTGTTAATCGAGCCTTACTCACTATGTTTTCAATCTCATCTTTTGGTAAAATGGCATACGAGATGCAATAAACATAAATTTTACTTATTCTTATTATTTTTTTTTTCTCATTGCAACGAACTTTGCTCCTTCATCTCCTTATGGTATACCAAGAATTCTCTCTTAAGCATTTACATTTACATCTCTTAAGCCCATCAAATGTAGTTATTCGATGATTTTACATAATTTATAGCCAACTTCAACTTAAGCAAAATTGAACTGAGATTTGGGTTTGACGCAAAAATTGAAGTTTTATTATTTGGATTAACTTAATCTTATGCCAACCATGTTAAATAGCCTAAGGGTTGAGGTGTCAATTATAGATTTCCTTGCACACTTTATGGAAAAAAAAAATTAAATGAATATATTATGAATTTTACAATAACAATTTACTTTAAGAAACTTATGATAAATATGAATTTATCTGCCTACTTAGTAATTCCATAAGGATAGATAAAATTAAAGATAAAGTTCAAAATGTAATTTATGGAAAAAACTTTTCAACTGTAAGCATGTATGTAAAGTTCTCAAACTAATGTAAGTATTTAGGTTAGCGACTTAGCGGTCATCAATTTTCACTTATCAAACTTGAGCTAAACTTTTCTTT